TAAGAAATTAAAACTTGAGGACCTTTGTACTCAGTTTCATCTAAATATTCACTGACTAAATTTTTATTTAATATAAAAAATGTGGTGTTGAGATAATTAGTTAATTGATCATGATATCCGGTTCTTGGTGTTTTGGTCGGGGTGGCCGGTCTGTGGGGGTGGCCAGTCTTTGGGTGACGGACGTTACCCGTAAATTTCTCGGTACCCTCAGGCGCGGAACGAGTTACATGGCAATGCCGAGTCATCTGTCATCCTCAACCTCCACGCCGCGGGTTTATGCACTGGGCCGAGCCCGAAATGGTGGTTGCTAGAGTAAGCGATAGGAATTTGACAAAGAAGTTTTTTTCTTTTCTTCTCACGGCATTGTAAGCAAGTCTTGTTTCCGTGAGGCCGAAAGTGCCGTGGATGCGGAGTTCGTGTTGTTGGTTATAACTGATATAAACATCCCAACACTTCCTATTTGGTGTTTCTATTCTCATTCACACCAATACATACCGTGAACTCAACCCTTATTCACCCCAGCCACACATGTAACTGATACACCACTACTCTCCTCGTCACAGCCACGATCAAATCGAAGACAAGTCCCTGAGTAACGACCAAAGGGGAATCTGAGCAACCAAAAGCAGCCCACTCGATCGTCATCGACCGAAGCAAGTATTGCAGAAACAGTCCCTAGCAAGCCAAGTCAGGATATCAAGGATTTTCAAGTGTGGCTGACCCACCGTGCCACACCCTCCAACTCAGTCGAGAGTAGTCCAGCCAACCAACCATTTCATTTTGAGACAGAAACAGACATTCCCGGCCAGGGCCCGTCATCACAATCAGAATCAAATCACCCCCAAATCCCCGATCCTCTGATCCCTGTCCTCCGTGCCCTGGTTCCGTCCGCGGCCCTGCGCTACGCGACGCTACCTAACTATGACGGGCATCCTTGCTCCCGTCACATCAGCCTTTGGCATTCCACTACCATCAAAGTATCGTCTAAAAGGATCCTCGACCACCACAAATTCTTCAACTCCTCCTTCACCTTCTACTTCTACCTTTTCTTCCTCTTCTCTCTCTTCACCTAAAACTCCTTCACCTTTAGTCACTTCCTTCACTCCAACCCCAGTGCAGGCCCTGTCATCGCCCCCACTATCTGCTGTCTCCATAGACTCGGTCCTTTCGCAAGCCAAAGCCACACCTCTGACATCATCACCGACGTCGCTCGATATGGCGAGCCCGGAGACCAGCCGGCCTGCCTCAGCAGTGCTGAGCATTGACACAAGACCATCGGCTGCTATTTTGAGCTCAGCTTTCTCGTCGCCTCGTTCCGCGTCTCCCTCTAGAACTATTCGCGAAACAATGCGCGATAGCGCCGTTGAACTGCGCAATTCTGCTCGATCTAGTATGGATGGCACTACCACCACCACCAACGGCGCTGTTGTTCCCAGCAGCCGCACTTCTCTCGACAGCGGTCGAACAAGCATGAGCTCTGACTGGCCTGTTCACCCTGGCGAGATCAACACAATTGCACAGCTCGATACTCTGCCCATTGGCACCGAAGTCACCTTCCGAGCCCGCATCGAGACCCAGCGACCTATTTCAAAGGTTCTCGACTTCTTACTCCTCCGCGACCAGACACACTCCGTTCAGGGTGTTCTCGCCCGTGATGCCAGTAATGCCGACTTTATCACATGGGTCCGAAAGATCAACCCCGAATCTCTTGTTCAGATCACTGGTACCCTCAAGAGCCCTCCCGAGCCGATTCGATCGGCTACACACTCTAATGTTGAGGTTGACGTCGAGTCTGTTCACCTCGTCAACCCCGCTCAGAACCTCCCCTTCAGCAACTACAAGCCCCCAGAGACCCTGCGCAACCGCATGAACGCCCGAATCCTCGATCTCCGACACCCTTCCAACCAGGCGCTCTTCCGTGTGCGCTCAATGGTCTCCCGAATCTTCCGAAACACACTCGAAGAGCAAGGCTTTGTTGAAATTAATACCCCTAAGCTTCAGCCTGCCGCCACTGAAAGTGGTGCTGCTGTCTTCCCTGTAAATTACTTCGGTCGCCGTGCTTTCCTCGCCCAGAGTCCTCAGCTCGCCAAGCAAGAGGCTATCTCTGCCGACTTCGGTCGCGTTTTCGAAATTGGCCCCGTCTTCCGTGCCGAGAACTCTAACACTCACCGTCACTTGACCGAATACACTGGCCTCGATCTTGAGATGGCCATTGACACCGACTATCATGAGGTCATCCAATTCATTGACATGTTCCTCAAGGAAGTCTTCAGAACTGTTTATGCCTCTCGAGAGCTCGACGTCATTCGCAAGAGATGGCCTAGTGGTGAGTTCAAGTGGCTAGAGGAGACCCCCATCATCCCCTTCAGCGAAGGTATCCAGATGCTCCGTGACGATGGACGTGACGTCGAAGAGGAGGATCTGTCTACTCCCGACGAGATGAGACTTGGCCAGCTTGTGCGCGAGAAGTACGGCACAGACTACTACGTCCTCGACAAGTTCCCTGCCAACGCTCGCCCCTTCTACACTGCCAAGGACCCTGAAGATCCCAAGTGGACTCGATCTTTTGATATCTTCATTCGAGGCCAGGAGATCTGCTCCGGTGGTCAACGTATCCACAACGTCGATGAGCTCCGCGCCAACATGGCTGCCGCTGGCATGTCTGAGGATGGTATGGAGGATTACCTGACTGCCTTTGAGCTGGGTGCTCCTCCCCACGCTGGTGCTGGTCTTGGTCTTGAGCGTATTGTCGCTTGGATGCTTGAGCTTGGCGATGTTCGATACGCATCTCTATTCCACCGCGACCCCAAGTCTCTTCCTACTAAGGCTCCCGGTCTGCCTCACCCCGAGGCTGACACCACCAAGCCTCACCACGCCGACTCTCCTCCTCCTATCGAGAAACTCATTGCCAATTACGGTGATGCTACCAACACCTCCTGGCTCGATGATCGTTTCCAGATTTGGCGACACTCCACTGGTGCCGCTGTTGGTTGGGTCCAACGCGAGAAGTTTGCTATGATTACTGGTGACCCTCTTTGTGACCGCAGCCAGTACACTCAAGTCATCCGTGACTTTATTCACTACATTACTGTCGACCTCCGATTGACACCTTTCTGGATGCTCGTTTCTTATGAAGTCCAGAAGATTCTTGCCTCTGAATTTCGCTGGCGAAGCTTGTCTTGCACTGAGGAGCAGCGTGTCGACGCTGATAAGCACAACAGCGCCCAGATCGATGGCCTCGCTGCCAAGGCTCGCCGCGTTGAGCGTGAAGGTGTCAAGATCCATGAGGTCAAGCCAGATGAAGAGTTTATCTCTCGCGCTAACCCCGCCATCGAAGCATGGAAGGGTACTCGTAAGGGCAAGGGCAAACAGGTTCACCTTACTGAGGTCCGCCCCTGGATTGACCAGGAGCACCGCCGATATTTTGCTGCCGAGAAGGACGGCAAGGTCATGTCTCTGGTCGTTTTGGCCAAGCTTGCTCCTCGACATGGCTGGCAGGTCAAGTGGGCTCTGGACTTCCCTGGTGCCGTCAACGGCGCCATTGAGGTGCTGGTGAGCTTTGCTCTCCAGAACGTTAGCGGAAAGGTCACCTTTGGCGCTGGTGTTTCCGAGAAGCTTACCCCTGGTGAGCACGTTGGCGGTATTCGTGCCAAGTTCCTTAGTGCTAGCTACCGATCCATCGTCGACAGTCTTGGCCTCCGTCGCAAGGCATCATTCCGATCCAAGTTTGGTGCCCTCGGCGAGGAGATTTACATCTGCTACCCCAAGCACGGTGTCGGCCTGCGCGATCTACAGAACGTCATCAAGTTCTTTACCGACTAAACATCGTCGAACCTATTATCACACCAATCACACCAATCACGCCAATGGTGCCAAGCGAGATACGAGCGAAGGGAAGAGGAGGTTTATTGCGTTGCTTTTAAAGATACCATACTTTACATGAGATTGGAAGCATGAGGATGGACGACGGAATAACGGCCTGTGCTTTTCTTGTTAACGGAAGGGTTTGCTTGTTTAATGACGGTTGTTTTTCCTGGATGGTGATTTTCCTTTGTGGCAGTCTTGCGAATATGTTTTATGTTTAAAATTCCCCCTTAGATACCAAGCCTGGATGAAATACCCTCTCTAGACGGATCATCTCTTGCAGGCTGTGCCTGCTGATGTACACCAATATTACTAGTTACAGAATACAGTTGTTTAAATACCTTGGTCTTACCAAATCCTCGCGACGGTGTAATTAAGACATATGCACACATCTACATATGAGGGTTCTCAAATTCGAGCCATTGGGGTCTTGCTTGTAGCCCGATAACGACCAACCATAAGAAAGAGACATCTAAATATATATGGCGCAAGGGCTCAGCACATGAGCATATTCCCAGAACACATAACAATTGTTCATGGTGAAAATAGAGAGGCTTGGGCCGACTATCGTGCACCCAAGTGATGCTGAGGCCATGGGCAACTGCCCCAGACTTTCGACTGTTGATTACATTACACAGTGTTGAGCGTCGATGATTGCAATGGCTGCACTTGAAAGAAAGTTCTCTATATTTTGCACGTTTCGGCAGGCAATTGGTGATATGAAGGCTTGGCAGTGATCGGACCCAAATCACAGTCTACACCCAGAGCAAGAGAGACTCACTCATGGACTGTTTCATTCAACTGAATGTTTAATAAATTTCTCTCAATGATCGCCTCGGTGTTTCGGGGCTCAATAAGTGATTTATCATGCGCCGTGGCTGAGTGTTCACTGGTGTTGCTTTTGTATTCACCACACAGGTAGTAGCACAAGCGAGTATGCTTAAAGTATCTGAGCATCAGATCAAAATTTAGGATGTCCTTATGGTCCACTTTAGGCTAGGGTTTCCTAACCTTAGGATAAGTTATCATAAGTTCCTACAATGTGGAGTTGGTCTCTTGGTTGCGCAGTCTTCGCATACTAGTCTCATGCTGCGATATAGCTAAGGCAGCTGCAGAACAATAAGAATGAGTTACAACGGAGGATCATGTTCCAACTTTAATAATTTAGGTTCAATAGTCTCTCTGTGCTGCGCAGAGGTCTGTGTAGTAAACTTGTATTGCCTGTGATAACATGACATCTCTCCCCCTCATTCCAACACTTGTCACAAGCACCACAAGTGGAGAGCATACTGCAGCAAAGTTGTAATGTAATATTCTGTCTGTCTGGGTGTTGATAGATGCACCTCAACGATTGATAGCCCCCTTTAATAAAAGCATCAGTCTACAAGTGAGCTCGACTCAGGAAAGGAGAGACGACCGCCAGGATCTTCAGGATAACAACAGAGGACCTAGCATACCGCAAAAAAGCCAAAAATTAATTATTAGAGGGGGGCTCCCGTTGGGCATCAGGAACACGGAAAGCTACACTGGTTCTCATGGCACCGCTCGACCACTCCTCGCCCAATTTGCTCTGTCGCTTGTTTATTGGCATTGATATAAGGCAAGATTCCTAAGATCGCTTGGGACCTACCTAACCTTCGTTCGCTCACTGTCCATAAGTGATCAAGTCTGATTCGCCGAGGCATAAGGCAAACTGGGAAAGAGCTATTGACCTGTGAGCCCAGGCATTATGCAGGTTGATGAAAAATAAACCCAAAACGGGCCATCATGTTTTCCAATACGAAAATAAAACACGCTATACCAAAAGCATAAATTACAAAAAGAGAGGCCGGTCTCATAGAGGGAAACCAAACAAGGAATCGAAGAGGAGCCTCACGGTTGGGCGTACCAGAGTATTGCTCAGTTTTCGAAACCTGCCGCGCTCACTATGAGACCATTCTCAGCCCTGGATCCCTTTGTGAAAGACCAGTAAGTTACGGCAGCTGATATAACCTTTGCTGGCGCATAGGTATGCTTAATTCTTACTGGTTCTAGGTTCATCGGCCAGACGAGGAGTGTCTTGACACTGGCAGCCACCCGCTCCACCCCCCATAACTTCTTTCGCTGATCTAACGTGTTATTCGTGCCTTATGGGTAATTATTGATCCAGAATGAAGTGTTTGGTATTAATATCATCCGTTAAACAATACCGTGTTCAAAAGCTCAGGGGCAAGGGTACTGGATGCCACTTCGCATGGCTCGCAGCATCCTTGAGCAAATTGATCAGAGGTATGGGTATCTTAATAGAATGAGAAGACGTCCTGAAATCTAAATCAAGGGATAAAGGAGTGCTGATTCATGGCAACCATGCCCAGTTGCACATAAAAGACCGAGCGCGAGAGAAGCAACCAGGAGTTGCAAAAACAAAGGAACCCAGCAAGTAGAGAGATAAATTGATCTATCTCTACTCCATGGACACCAAGAAGAGACTCCTACAACATCTATTCCCAGCTAGAAATGAGACAGGACTCCACGTAGTATAACCCGGCGAATCTTGTATGAAGATGACCAGTGGGATTTCCATCGACATCTGGCATCAAATGATGATATCAGTAACTAACAAAAGAAGGACCAGAGTGCCCAGGTATAGTTTCACTCCTGGATACATACGCTTTCTTAAGTACAAACAGTAAGGAGGTGTTTTATACCTCGATGATTACACGATGACGGTGAATAACGTGCCATGTTGTAGCTTGATCTATGTAGTAAGGCCATGGGAGGCAAGGGAACTTGCGATCTCAACCCTAAGGGATGAATCGACTTAGGTAAGATTAGCATAGGATTAGAGAACCTTTTGACCAACGCACTTACTTTTGGCACCCTGATTCAAGGTCTGAGGTTGTCTTGCCCCATAGGGTGCGGTTTGCAATCGGGTGGATAAAGAAGGAGGTTATCACTTGAACTGTACCTGGGCGTTAATGTGATATATCGCGAGTTTTGTTCTGGACACCTCGGGTTGGTTGGGTTATCTGCGCTGTTTGCTTGCGGTAGAGGAGTCCATCTTTTCGTGCTTCGCGTGAAGCAATTTATCGAGCAGGCTGACTAGGCTCAATGACCCTGATAAGGAATACCCAGTGCTGGTCACTTTGAAGTTGCCTAGTTGGGCGCAGTCAGCAATGGACTAGGCTTCTCTAGATCAACATTTATCTTTCTTTAGTTGTAAAGCCTTTCATTAATGCACGTCCTGGGGTGGCTTTGACATTGACTGGTATACTACCTCAGTAGCGGGAGTGTCTCTGTGATTCATCTCAGGCGAGACTGGCCGGAAGTGATGCCACTGTTAAATGTAATGAGCTGAACAAAAGGCTTGGACCTATTGAGTGGTCCACGGGAAACTGGCAGCTGAACTGGTGCTGTGTCATTTCATTGATGGGGACATTGTTCACTGGACCTTGCCTTTCGCTGTGCCTTTGTCAAGGCTTCCTCCGTGAATGAACATGAATCATGGGAGTTTTCTCAGGACCGTGATCTGGACGTTTCATTTGTTCATTACTATGGTCGGAGAGAATGGCCTAGAACTTTGACGTGAGTGCAGCGCCTTGAACACCCGGCGAACACTCCCACTGCCAGAACAACCTTTGCGCCGGAAGTTCACTCAGGATGCCATTGGCATGTTCAAACTGCCAGTCTGAGAACATAGGAAGGTCTGTTTGCTCTGAAGACTCCAGATTTACCTATAAATTGAAGATTGACCTCGATCAATCTCAACCTTCTTCTCAACTCACAACCAATTCACAACCAACAACCTCACTTCCACACTTAACACCCATCACACAACAATCTTCTACTAAAACCCCTTCCAAACCTTTCACCATGTCTTTCTCCAGCCTCTGCAAGGTCGCCCCCGTTGATGCCAAGGCCCCTACCACCATCAACACTCCTGTCGATATGGCCAACCCCAAGTGCACCTACAGCTGCGGCTGCAACAACATCGTCAAGTTCACTGGCGGTAACCTCTGCGAGTCTTTCAACGACAACGACAACGACAACCAGTAGATGTTGTGTCAAACTACCGGTCATGACTTGACTATGCTCGCAGTGGCTAAGTCAACCGTCGCTCTTGGAGGATAACACGGACGAAGACAACAAAAGTAACAAAAGTAACAAAAGAAAAAGAGTAAAAGAATAAAACCGAAAAAAGATAAGGGTATTGTCTCGCTTCACCGTTTGCGATTGACTGACGAACTGGGTATTGTGCGGTACGGACTTGAGGGATTGGTGATATGTGAGAAGAGTACGAAGCAAAGGTGGATTTGTCCAGAGAGACCAGACAAGTAAGTAGATAGTGGTAAAGTATAATATAAAGGACTTTCCAAAAAAAAAAAAAAAAAAAAAAAAGAAAAGAGAGAGAACTCCCAAGAATAACTGTCAAACTGTGAACGGATTGAACTGAATGATCCCTTGATCGTCGCATCCAATAGATATACGAGATGAAAACAACCCAACAAGTCACCCAACAGGCCTTACCAATAAGAAAAATAACTCTCATTACCCAACAGAAGCGATTTGTCAACCTGAATATCCAGCAATCTTTCTCGCCGTATAGTCTGTTGCACTGACCAACTGTGTTGTTATGGCTCGCTACCAGCAATGAAGCCTCTCCGAAATGCTACTCGGTCAACAAGCTTTCCCATACCTCGCTCCAAATTAACTTACCTCCAGGAATAACTGCCGCCGCATACATGGCCTGTGAAATTGGCTTCAAGCCATCTCCATCATGCTGGTGGATATGCTCCTCCCAAAAGTCGATCAGTGTACTGACCTGTTCCTTCAATGGCTCATCAGGCTCAACACACTGGACTCCCAGACAGGCGCCAAACTCTCTGAAAGCCAGTCTCTTGGAAGCGCTTCCGCTCATATCCGTGGCTTTACCATCAAACAGGTCGTCGACTAGATCCATCGCTTGTTGCGTAAAATTCTGCGACCACTCCTCGTGGGGATAGAAGTGGCAGATCCATAAACCCATACCGAGATCCAATGGGTCACCGCTGGGATACATTGAGCCTCTTTGGTGCATTACTTCCTCATAGTCGCTGATTTCTTGCTGAAGAAGCTGGTCCTTCCGACCCTGTTGCACTGCTGTCTCTTGGAGCATTCTGTAGACCACAAATCCGGTCGCAGCGTCGAGATGCCCTTCGGTGGGGACGAGAACCTTGTTCATATCCACGGAGATCTTCCAGACCATTTTGAGTCCACCCGAAGACTGGAAGCAGAACTTTGGATGGATAGCTTTGGCAAGTTGGATGGCCAAGTCATTGAAAGATGAGTCCTGAGTGGTCCAGGAAAGGCGATTGAGAGCAAACATCCAGAGAGTCAGATAGTGATGATACTGTCCATCCCCATCGCTCCCTGCCTCGCGCTCTTTTCCAATTCTCAAGCCACCTTTGAGTGGTTCTGCATCGGTTGCGCCTGGCAGACTAGATGTACCGTCCCTCGTGCGGCCCAAGACGTCGTGCACAGTCTGAACAAGGCGCTTGGCCAGGGTGAGATACTTGTTGTCTGTCGTCTCTTCATAGAGCGTGATGAAGTTGACGACTCCGAAAGCATCTGTCCAAAGGTACCGCCCTTTATGGCCGCCAGCGCCCGGGTTATCGGGAGGGCTCCAGGTATCAGCGTCTTTGTCAAAGTCGCCGTAGACTTGGTGCATCGCTCTTGTGAAGCGACGGGTTGCATCTTCACCAGACATGATGGTTTAACACTGAGTTAATATCGTAAGGGTGTGTATGAGTTGAAATGCAGCTGAGTTTTCTGCAAAGTGCGAGAAATCGATGGGTTTAATTGGGTTGCATCTTGATGACTTCATACCTCTCCCGTCCGTTCGTCATTTGGAGGGAGCACTAACGTTCACCATTACAACAGAGCGGAATATGATGAGGGGAAGAAATTCTATTAAACTACACAACACAAAAGTTTTAGTTGAAGAATTCTGGTAGAAACACCTGACGTTTCATCGCCTGGTAGCTTGAATATTACACGGAGAAGAGTCCGGACGAGGCCGGACCAAAGCTGGGCCGTGTTTCAAGCCGGCGCGGGACAGGACATCACCCGCTTCGAACCTCTAAATTTATAGCTGAGCTACCAATTGATATTGATCAGTGTTGGACCTTGCATGAATACTGGTGGAGGCAAGAGAACGTATGGCCTTGTCCCAAATGACAAAAGTTACTAATCTAAGGGCTTCCTAAGTCTACACTAAATTTACCTAAATCTTTGTATCATTTAGGATACGGATCCTAAGCTTTCTTGCTGCTTGAGGGCAGGCTCTATCACTTTTAGTGGATTCTTAAGATAAAGTTATGTTACAGATTTATTAGGAGACATACTTTATTCGTGATGAACTCAAAAGAACAAATCCTGTGCTGGAGGCTTTCCACTCGGCTTTCATCTTGCAACTACTGAGCTTGAAGTCTTTATTGATGTCGAGACTCTTGACAATCAATTGATTGTAATTGTACCTTACAGATTGATACAGGTTTGAGCTTTCAAATTTTCACCTCGACATACAAGAAGCCCCCCATGATCTGCTCAGTACGGACCAGACAACCGAAACATCAACCAGCCCATCTTCTTCCACTGGAAGAAATTGATGAAAGAATTCAACACGCGAAGACTATCCAATATATTATCCGAAGCTGCTGTCGGGCAGGATCAGAAGACTTCTGCCTCCGTGCCGGACATGTCGCAGCAATCATGACCATCCCGCTGTTGCTTTTTGGGCCAGATGAGTTAATGCCACTAAAGATTTGCAATTTCGAAATGCAGAGATGTATTGATTCTATCTCGCCTTCGTGCAAGTATTGTAAGCCGGCTACTCTATGAATAGTACGCGGTCAGTTAAAACCATTAAGATCTTCGACATTTACGCAAACGATACCGTACGACTTTCGTTCCTGGTCAACTTGGCCAGCTGTCTATCGCATGCCCAAGCGCAGCATCACGCCGCAGTACCAGAATGGATATTGGCGAGACGACCTCTTTTGAAGTCAAGTCGGAATCTACCCTTGAACTCCAAGTCATCGAGCCACCAAGCTCGACTGAAAGCGAGTCCGAGTATACCGACGAACTCCAGGCCATCGAGCCACCCAGAATCGACAAACAAAATATAGACTTCGCCGAACAAACTAAATTTCTGGCGCGCAACGGGAATGCTTGCGTGGCCACTGGAGCAATGAACCTGAATGCATACCATATCGCACCATTTACTTGGAATGATACTCAGGAGCACATCGACAGAACATTCGATCTGGGGCCTAATCGAACCTTCATGGTCGGGAACGAATTCGCAAATCGTACTCGCTACCTGCACAACCGAGATGAGCCAGGGGAGTCCGATAAGGCATGGAATATGATCTCTCTTCACCCCCAGGTATACAGCTGGTGGTCCAAAGGGTACTTCGCATTCAGATGCCTGGAAGTGCAATCTCTAGGAAGTAATGAGTCAAATGTGATTTTGGAGTTCCGGTGGATGCCTCAGACCAAACGCTGGTTCGGACAACAGATTGATATCTTCAACACCGGTACAGGACATGATCTGAAAGAATGGTTGGACGGGATCGATCAGTTCCATGCCTCCGGGAATCCCCCACCTATGGCTAGCAATGAACTAAGGCTTCAGGCCACCACAAGTGACGGAGCACCTCTCTGTTCAGGAAGGCTTATTCATATACGAATTGTTAATGAGGACGTATCTCGTTTCAAGGATATGATTGGCATGTAATGGGGCTGAATACTCATCACGGCCCTGAGCGGTGCTACCGGAACTTCGCAGTTGCTTTCAAATGGGAATTCCGATGACAAGGTGATGCAGTGGATTCAGGGCCAGGCGAGGTTTGACAAAGAGCATAGTTTTCACCCTCCAGATATGGAATGGCATTTCTATAGCCTGTAGTGAGTCATGAATATAGAGGATTTATGATAGCTGGGGGATGGTAAAAACCTTCAGATTTTGATCCTAAGTAATATAAGTGTTTAGGTAGATTTAGAATATCTTAGGATACTTTAGGATAGTCTTAGTAGACTCTTAGGCTGATAGCGGCGCCGCAGTGGCGCTGAGCAAAACGACCACATGGTTCTAACTGCTCTCTGAACACGATTAACCGTCACAGATCGACTGTCACTGGATACCCTGTGGAGATATTCAAGCAAGAAATTTTATACATCAAGTATATACACACCACCACTTCTCTACTAAAGGGCGAGAAGCAATGGGTATGAAAGAATACGGTCTCCTCAACTCTAACTCCAAATCACCCGTGATCCTGTCGTTGAAGCTCTGGAAGTACCACCGGCACGCTTGCAGCTCCGATGACATCAGGTAGCTTCAGTCCAGCTCTGGCCACCACATCGTCCGTAAATAGAAGCGCACTGCTGAAGTCAGTATCCGAGAGTCAGCTGGGTTGTGAAGGGGAGAACGCTTACATTGGCACCAGGCTCTTGCTTGGAAGGTTTGTGCTTAGACTTATTGGCAGGGCTCGTTAGCGCCAGTGTCAATCTCTTGCTGCTGGGGTTGGTTCTCACTGCCAGGTTGCTGGAAAGAGTTTCCATTGCCACCTTGCTGACCGTTTCCGCCCTGAGAAGCGTCGCCACCCTGTTGAACATCGCCTCCTTGCTGAGAATCACCGCCCTGGGAAGCATCACCGCCAGTAGAGCCACCGGCACCACCACCAGAAGAAGCACCCTCAGAGACGGTCATGTGGGACGATCCGCTGCTGAAGTAACCCTCAGTAGCGAGGATCTGGTAGTCGTGAGTACCGAGCTTCATGCCGGCCTTCTCCCAGGCATCGAAATGAAGACCAGTGTCGACGCTGCCAGTAGAGCGGTGCTGCTGGCGAACAGACCAGTACTGCTGGAAGGTCTGAGTACCGTCGATTGAAGGGGCGTTGGTGCGAGTGGTCTCGAAGATGTCGTAGGTGCTGCCATCGGCCTCAACGGTGCCCTTCTTGGTAGCACCGCTGGAGGGGTTGTAAGTACCGAAGGACTCGACGATGTAGTATTCGACGAGAGGGTTTCGGGTCCAGCCGTAGACAGAGAGGTAGCTGTTGCCGTTGGGCTTGTACTCTCCCTCGTACGAGATGGTTCTACCAGGTATTAGCAGAGGGCCATGATAAGCTTATTGTGTACTAACCGGGCCTTTCCAGGAGACCAACCCTTACCACCGACGACGTTGCCGCCATCCTTCCACTCCATGGAGTAAGAACCTCCCTCACCGTTGGTGTAAGTGGCATCGGCACCGCCATCACTCCACTATATAAAGTCAGCTATGGCCCGAGAATCATGTTGGCTGTACACACCCAAGAGTAGTAGAATCCGTTGTTAGTACCGGAACTGTTGGGAGTACCAGCCCGCTTGGTAATCTTGGAGAAGAGACCTTCTTTGGAGGGCGCGGCAAGAGAACCAGCTACGAGCGACAGCCCAGCGAAGACGGAAGTGAAGTGAACCATGATGAATGATTTGAAGAGAAAAAAGAGTGTGTTAGAATAGAAAACGAGTGTTGAGTTGAAGGATGATTCTCTCTGCCATTGCTGCGAAGTTGTTGGTATAGATATAGAAAAGAAGACCCTTGTTATATCGCTTCGTACTATTGTTTCAAATAAACATGTGGTGTTGCTTGGTCTGAAACAACTTGTGGGGCCGGCCCGTTTTCCCGATCGGACAATGATTTGACGTTTAATGAAGGAGGGACGAGGCTCGATTTTTTCCGTCCATTGGACGATTGTTTTGATGTTTCCGGGAGATGGTGATTTTAATGCGTTGAGCTGATGGTGGGTCGATTAGATCTAGATGCCAAGCGAATATTCATGCTTTCCGCTCAGCCTCGTCATGTTCCAAGTTTCAGATCTACAAATGGTATTTTTACCAAGAATCGAACATTATTGATGGTACATGAGATAAGCTTTGACTAAGATATATTGAATCTTGGCATAGAGAAGTCGCTGCACTTGATATCGTCAACCAAGGTCAGTAGAATATCGTCTCTATCAATAAATCCACGGCAACTATTCCGGCTCAAATCCGCTCTTTTAACCTCACGTTCCACAATTAATTTCAGTTGAAACGAGGTAACAGCCGTATTTTGTAACCAGCATCGGCAAACGGCAGCATCCTCAACCTGAAACTTGGCATACCTAAGCTAGAACCATGTGGCCCAAGTTTCACGTTTCACGGATAATACCAGATATCAGGCTATTCTCAAAACTCAAATACCCGAATACAACTCCATACGTCAATCACAGTAGGTCTGACCCAAATATATTTATACATGATACAAATTGGTTGCATCTTGATTGAATTTAGAGTAATTCAGGATATGAGGCTGACAACCGCCATGGAACATGTTTAGCCTGAATACTCAACCAAGATAACAGATCGATCGTCTGAAAATATCCGAGATCAACAATGGATATTGTACGCGATTGCGGGTCTTCGCTACAATCCCTTGTTACAGAAAAGTTCCTCGAGTGAACCCTGCGTGCATCCTATAATCATCGATACGTCTCATAGAAGACTGAGCGCAGTGTGGGGTGAATGATGATTCAGTAGCATGCATCATAGCGTGGCAGCATGACTAATTCAGCCAGAATGCGAAAATTGATTGGGATGATGGCCTCATTCTATATTCTCTCCATACTCTGCACGCTTCTCAGCCGTGTATTTGCACCGTCTATCCGAGCCTGTTTTCAGCGATAGTTCAGTTCAATAAACCTGTGGCCCATGCACCTAGCATTCGTCCAGAGAAATCTTTTGCTCGCTCAAGAACTCCCAGAGTCCATCATGCGTTCCTGGTACCATTGGTTTCACTTGGCGGCTTCTCTCCGACAAATAGCAACACCCTAAGATAATAAGCTCACAAATCCCATGATAATGTCGCGAAGACTTACCATGAAACCCTCCAGGCCGGCTTTCCGTTCAGTCTCTTGCACATTCCTCGACTTCCATCGTTGTCTGGCGCCACATCAGCAGAACACCAGCCATCGTCAGCAAAGTCAAGAGACTTTTCACGAAACAACTTCGCAGCAAGTGTCTTGGCAAGACCACGTCGGCGATACGGCTCCTGACTCATAATCAGCTTCATATTGTGCCTTGAAGCAATATGATACATACCTCGCAGTGGAGGCTCATTAGTGAGCCGTCGAACCCTAAGTCAGATTAGAGTTGAGCCGCATGATTTAGGCTTGAGGGAACTTACCTAGAAAAGCCCATGAGATAGGCGTTCCGTCATCGAGCTTGATTACCAAGCTTGGCATGCGTCTCAAGACTTGCCTATAGGGAATCAGCCAGTATTCCGGTCGGCTAAAATCAGACTTACACTGATCTCGGAATATTTGTTCGGGAGATGGCAACTCGGCAATCATCGTCAGTCGCCGTTCCCCAATACATGCCCTCGGGCAAATCTGTTTCCTCCTTTGGAAGATCTTCGTACTTGAAAAGCCATTTGTCATAAGGCCCTGTTCCACGAGGTTGAACACGACCTGTCTTGGAGAGTAGATCTCGGACTGAGTCGTGTAATGTTCCGAGCTTAACAGCCTCGCCATAAACGAGGGGGCGCCCATATGTCTTTGCTATCAAAACACTCTCCTCGATTATTTTATGAAGTTGCGGCTCATAGACGGCTGAGTCGTTGATATCGGCGTTACCGGGATGCTCGAGGGTCGAGTAGATCCACGTTTGCGTGTCAGGGCCACCTGCAACGTCGAGATATGCCGCAGTGAATTTCTTCGGAAAGTTCACAGCATCCTCAAGTAAGGATTCCGCTACCAGTATGACTCTTTCTGTCTCTCGTAGGCCATTTTCAGACTTGGTAAACTGAAGACGTCGAAGGAGCGGTAGCGAGTAGGGCAGTTGATTAGTCAAAAGCGCCAAGAGCTGCTCTGGCACGGTCGTGTAGACCTTGACAAAATCCGCCATTTCGGTGTCTTTCAATTCCCTCAGATGATGTTAAAATCGAAAGATCTGGAAGTGGCATCGAGATAAATAGTTTGAGATACGTGGATGAATCATTGTCACACATGGGTAAACGTCGGTTATCCAGAAGGATCGCAACGGTGTCTACTTTTGGGAGGAAAATGAGTCACTGGGATCGCTTCCCAGTCTTTAAAGTCGCGGAAATGTATTTGAGTTCAGTGTAAAAGCTTAGATACCGAACGTCTTTGTTCTACGTCACTCCGATTTCGGGTGGTTGGTATATTGCGATGTGACTTAGTTCATCTAAACTCAAATGATAGGCGTTGCATGACACATTTTAAAGGCAGCCAAAAGAGTCATATCTAGCTTCGACTTGCTATTGAACATGACTGTAATAGTTCCGGTCACTGAAGCTCTATTCAAGTGAAAGTATGTTGTTCCAGGTCAGGAATGTGGCCGAAGCCGGCCTTCACCTCTGAAGTGATTCACTACAATAATCCCACTACAGGGGTATGTGTGAAATTAGTCAAGGAGCAGTAGAAGAACAAGTAAATCGAAAGTAACAAGATATGCCAATGAGGCAGGCAACTGGTATCATTGTATTAGTAAATACATATCTAGTTCCACATTTTAAACAAGACATGGGATGCTCAAAGATAGTCTTTGATGTCGACCAGGAGCAAAGGGATAATAATACATTTGTTTAAATATTGAATGCAAGGAGGAAGTGCCAAAAGGTTATAGGATGAGATCCGATCTTTATCACCTACAGCCGTTGTAAGTGGGCTACCCTACAGTCTCCCCCTTAGTGAGGTCAACACCAAGAGAATCATAGATATAGAGAGCTTTCTGATATCCTTACTAACTTGCCACTATTGCACTTTGTGCAAATTGAATGAGCTTTAGTATATTCATAGTAAATCGTTGACGTGACATTATTCGGGTCATCGCGATAATTGTCCATTTCCTTGTTTTGAAGTGTAGCGACTCAAAATTGTGATGAGATACTATGGCAAGAAAGCCACAAACATCGCGACTGGTACTAAGAGTCTCGCCAGTTGTCTGCAAGATAGCGCAAGCGGCCTACGAACAGCCTTGTGATTTGTCTTGACCAGTCTATCAATGGATACTCACACCACAATCATCGCTCTGGCTCGATGCTCAACCGGATGGCCACCAGCCGACCTGCCACCAAGATGTCATCAACCAGTCAATTAGTTTCGAGCTTCAGATTGGCCTCAAGTGTTATTGCCACTTCTGTCGCGCTGCCCATTCGGTTGTCTCAATTTCTGGTGCCCATTTTCGGGCCACATCAAGAATTCTCTAGTCTCCACCCATCACCAACTCCCCGAGAGAGGCTCGGCAGTCTCGACTCCCCGTGAACTCCCCGAAATAAAGTCACGGACAAATGATGGTCCTGAATTTGGACGTGACTTGAGCCGCGCGAGGGAAAAATTCTCTTCCAACCTCAAATCAACATTGCGAGACTGTCGACCCACGACAGCAGCACCTACACCACGTACACGCAACTCCGAGGCATGACAAGATGACCAGGATGGACGAATACCGAATGTCACTAGGGATGTGGTATGTGTGGGTCGACGCAATTAAGCATAATGAACTCTGCTGACATGGGAACATCTAGATTGTCCAGATTGTTGATCAGTTGCCCCATAGCATACGGTACCTCCAGTAGCCGACCGATATTCACGCTGACGATCACATCGACCTGTCATCTATCGACGTAATAACATTGTCGCGACAAATGGAAAAGACTCGCCTGGCCGTCTTTCACCATCGCCGTGGCTTTCGACGCAATTGACTATCGAGATGAGATGTCTACTGGCTTGCCACCTTTGATCGATAACCTGTCTCGATTCCACGGGCGATAACCAATAGTGGCAGGTGGAGGTTCAGCTCACAATGTCGTGCCCAATTGGAATCTTGACGAATCAATCAGAGAACGAATCTCGCAAGCCCACGACCAACCACGACTGAACCCAATTACGTCCGAATTGGAGTTGGAAATGCAAATCCCACGTATAAACTCGACTATGTCTTGATAACCTTGCAGTCGCTGGCAGGGTTGTGTGCCGTATTGCCGAATAGGTGCCTTGCCAAGCTCCCAGAACAACGGGATGTGCTCGCGTGCATTTGATGGCGCCGCTTGAAGGATGCATTCCCGGGAGAAGCAACGGCTGCGCTAGAGGAAGACGTGGGAGTCGCTTGGCAGGGGATCAAGTACCGTGTACAACGAGAGTGAGCTCTACCGTACCTCGCCCAAAAACACACCGAGCTAAGACGGATCCAAATGCACACTCCCCGACACTAGACCACCACCATCCAACTGGACGACAAGGGTAGATCTGGGTTGTTCCTCCCACCAACCGCAGCGAGATTGATTAGGGCGCAGAAAAAGTGCTGGATAAGCTTACCTGATGGCGCGCAAGATCTGGAAATATTCGCCATGGGACCTGGATCGCAAAGTGCGATGTGCAGCACCCTGAAACTGTCGCAAATTCGTCAACGCATGGACAAATTCGATCATCAAAGGAACAGAAGGACCGACGACGACAGCCTTGCAATAGCAATCCCCTGAACCTCATCTACATTAGCTCAAACACCACGTTCGCCAAGGCAAATTGCTATCGAGATGGCCAAGACAACAAGATGGATGGGTTGACGGATTTTGTGCCGGGAGGCGTCGCCTTTCGTGGGGGACCAAGCCGGAAGGCTTATGATCCCGAGCGGGAGGGATGAGGTGAGGCCTTGGCTGTACATTGGCTTCTTGATCAAATCATTCGTCCAAAAGCAAGCTGGACCGTCGGGCGAGCCCCGATGGTCCGGAGCATGGGTTCTTGTTGGATCCAATGAGACATGCAGCAGTGACAAAGGGGGAGACTGTCAATGAGGTTACTCCCAGCTCGCGTGCCTGCGTGGGTGGGGGACGAAAGGGGCCATTTTTGAGCTGAAACAGCAGACGCAGCCGGCGACCACGGGACAAATCTGTTTCGATCTCGTAAGAAGAGGCGGGAAACGACCGACGACCCAGCGATGGCCCGAGAGTATTACGCGGAGAGTGTTACGATGGTCTCTGTTGCAGCGAGGGAAGCAAGCTAACACGCGGCCACGATCGCCCAGATTGGAGATCCGTGTTACCTTGAAATGAGAAAAGACACATGCGACGCACTAATATGAGCAATATGGAAGGGTCTATTGCGTCAGATAAGATTTCGGGCTTGCCATATTGCACCATGCCAGTGCGTCGACTTGCAACTTGAAGCTATTGATCGAGAGCTGGCAGCTTCACACACGACTCGGAAGATCGGCAACATGTATCACGGTCAAGCTGTCAACCTAGAGCCTCTTTGACTCACAGTAGCTGTAGTTTATTGAAGTCTAGACCTGATGTGTGACCGCGCAACCGCAGCCTTGGGAAACTAAGTTGTCTCGGTGCACACTCACTTCGAGAGACAGCATGGGTTGAGCGCTGGACCAGGGGTGGTGTAAATTGACGAATGGACGAACAGGCAAATGAGGATGCATGTGCACTTGTTACTGGACTCCCCGAAAATAGGGACCCATCTTGAGTCCTCAGCCGTAGAGCATGGGTGTCGTGATGGTTGAGCAATAGTCTCACCAGAAGCAATTCTGGACTACATGGAGGGCTCTGGACTTTCATGATAAAGTTCGGAGATGAGAGATTTGTTGCTTTATTGTGGACTTTGTTCTGCAGCAATACCGGCATTCGCCATGTGATATCGAGTCTGATGAAGGTTATTCAAGGTCCCGTAACGCCAGAGACGTTAGCACCGGTAGCAAAGGGGAGTGGGGCCGAAGCGTTACGGGGAGTTGGGGTATGGGCCGATGAGGCCATCATGATGAATATTGGGTCATTGAAGAGATTGGACAGCGAAAAAGTCTTCATCTAGGGCGACCATTTTTGATACAGCATTACTCCCAAAAAAGGGTACCGAAACGACGTAATACAGGAACGAGAAATTTGAGAGTCCAAAAGCTCATCTCCCCGAGAATGGAAGCATGCATGGAACAAAAAGCTCTCATGCCGGTAACGGCGACACAAACTTCCAAGACAGGGGTACCTGAGCTACCTGACCAACTCCCCGAAGGTCCCTGAAGGCTGAAGGATCTTGATCAGTGCCCTCACCCACTGTAAGCAATGGATATCAACACGCTACACAATAAATATGGTAATTCACAACATCTTTCACGCTCGATTTCCTCCGTGTCTCGACGGGATGAGTTCATTGACCATTTCTAATCCAATGATGATCTCACTTCATCATCAAAGCTTCTGCGGTTTCAACTCCACTATTCCGCAATGGGAATAACGCCTGCCGCTTAGAAAGCGGAACTAAACTGTTAACGGCTTTAGATCGAATGGCGCAATCGGGGACCATATCGTCGCGAGATCTAGCAGGGATTTTTCTCTTTTCATGAACTTTGAGCGTGGTAATGCAAGGTCGCATAATATTCACAGACTTTTGTCATTTCGCTCATTATTACTCACAAAGCATCAGAAGCCTCGCAAAATTCAAACTCTGAGAGAATATCATTCTTTGAGAGACGAGATCTCGCCACGGAGACGACACGAATGTTGGTGGAGTTTTGGCGGAGCTGAATTGGGATAGTGACAATTGCATGCTCAGATCCTGGTCAGCACGCAATGGTTCTAATGGAGCCCCGGACGCACAGCTTTTGCCGCAAACTCACCACGCTGCCTCCATCAATTCTGCAGCTTGACGCGGTACAAGACAAGAGAGCTTGGGGTGTGAAGGAAATGACACACCGCACGAGGGTCCGAGGAGACCTCAAATGTGATCCCAGCTCACATGTACAGGCTACAAAGGATACAGGCATTAACAGTAGCGCCCAGAGTTTTTGGCGTTCGTCGATCCCTGTTCAATCACACAGTGAGACTCTCATCTCCCCGCTCGCAAAAAAAGAAACGTCGTGACATTGGACTTGGGCCGTGGTCACGATTGCATGAAGCCTGAAAAAGGGCTGAATTGAGAGGAAATGACACTACCGCGTGGGCCAGGCCAGACCAGACCAGGTCCACGGAACGATAGCGACAGCTTAGCAATTGACTTCGCAAACAATACACACGCCCTTGGGCTCGGATCGCCGCTGGTGGTCAGCCAGTCCAGTCTAAATTTATATGTGGCCCTTCCTCGCCTCTTTCTTCTCGATTATCTCTCTCTCAACCTCGCTCCCACTTCTCAATTCCCTCAACGGGTCTTAACCCCATATATATCCTACAGATCGACTCGATCTGGCTCACCCTTTCATCCTGAAGACCCTCTGATCCTGAAGACCCAAGACCTTCAGTCGTCATAGCTACCTCGACTACTTGTCCTAACTAGGAGAAAGTCTTGCTAGCGCTGCATCACACCCCCGACCGACCGAGCGACAATCCGACTCAGGGACCCACGGCACGTCTTGACGACTCAAATACCCACGTTGTGCCATTGCTGATCAACCTTTTTGATCTCCCCGTTCTTGCATACCTACTCAAGAATCTTATTTCATCTCCCTTTTCCCATAGTCTTTTTTTTGAGCGTTGTCCTTTTTCCCCATTTGACTTTGCTGTTGTTGTTCCAACATGTCTCAACCAGGCAAGAATTCTGCCAAGACGGCCTTGGAAAAGTTCATCGGCGCCGATCACACCGAACCCGAAGAGAAAGCGCCTTCAATCTCCAATGCCGACCTTTACATCGAGGAGGAGCCTACAGTTGGTGAATTTCTTCGAGAAATCACACCCAGCGCCCGTGCTGTTGGAGAATACTTTTACAACCTCTTCCCGTTCTTGTCATGGGTTGGCAAGTACAATTTGATCTGGTTCATTGGTGACTTGGTTGCTGGTAAGTCAACTCCCCGGTGCTGTTACATTCTCGGGGAGACTCTGTTCGCTGACATCAACTCCCCGCAGGTATCACTGTTGGTGCTGTCGTTGTTCCCCAGTCTATGGCCTATGCCCAGCTGGCACAGCTTCCCGTCGAGTATGGATTGTACTCATCCTTCATGGGTGTCTTGATCTACTGGTTCTTTGCCACATCCAAGGACATCACCATTGGTGTAAGTACTATACATGTCTATTGACCAACTTTAACTGACTCTTCAGCCCGTCGCTGTCATGTCCCAGGTCACAGGTAACATCGTTCTCAAGGCTGCCGATTCCTTGCCCGATGTTCCTGGTCACGTTGTCGCCTCCGCCCTCGCGGTCATCGTCGGCTCAATCGTCACTTTCCTCGGTCTCGCTCGTCTCGGATGGCTCGTTGAGTTTATCCCTCTGCCTTCCATCTGTGCTTTCATGACTGGCTCCGGTGTCAACATTATCGCTGGTCAAGTCCCCAAGCTTATGGGCATCAAGGGTGTCAACACCCGTCAGGCAACCTACCGTGTGATCATTGACACCCTCAAGAACTTGGGTGGCAGCAAGCTCGATGCTGCTATTGGTCTGTCAGCCCTGACCATGCTCTACCTGATCCGTATTTTCTGCAGCACCATGGCCAAGAAGCAGCCCCAGCGCGCTAAGCTGTACTTCTTCATTTCGACCCTGCGAACCGCCTTTGTCATCCTGCTGTACGTTGGTATCAGCGCGGGTATGAACATCAACCACCGCTCCAAGCCCCGCATCAGCATTGTCGGCGACGTCCCCAGTGGTAAGTTACCTAGTCTCACAATTGACAATTGATCCAGTAATGGACTAACTCGTTCAGGTTTCACTCACGCTGCTGTCCCCGAGATCAACACCCCCATCATCAAGTCTTTCGTCTCTGAGCTTCCCGCCGCCGTCATCGTTGTCCTGATTGAGCACATCTCCATCTCCAAGTCTTTCGGTCGTGTCAACAACTACGTTATCGACCCCTCTCAGGAACTCGTCGCCATTGGTGTCAGCAACCTTCTCGGTCCCTTCCTTGGAGCTTACCCCGCTACTGGATCTTTCTCCCGAACTGCCATCAAGTCCAAGGCTGGTGTTCGAACTCCCTTCGCTGGTGTCATTACTGCTATTGTCGTCTTGCTTGCTCTCTACGCCCTTACTGCTGTCTTCTTCTACATCCCTAACGCAGGTCTTGCCGGTGTCATCATCCACGCTGTCGGAGATGTCATCACTCCTCCCAAGGTTGTCTACCAGTTCTGGCGCGTCTCCCCCCTTGAGGTCATCATCTTTTTCGCTGGTGTACTCGTCACCATCTTCAGCTCCATTGAGAACGGTATCTACACCACCATCGCCATGTCCGCTGCTGTCGTCGTCTTCCGTCTCTTCAAGACCCGTGGTCGCTTCCTCGGTGTTGTCCGTGTCCGAACCATGAAGGCCAACGTCAGTGACGGTACCTCCAGCCCTGGATCCGTTGACGAGGGTGAGGGTTCTCTCCGAGCTGGCTTCCTTCCTCTTGATCACGGCAACGGTGCCAACCCCAAGGTCGTCGTCCGTACTCCTTACCCTGGAGTCTTCATCTACCGATTTGCCGAGGGCTTTAACTACCCCAACGCATCTCACTACCTTAACCACCTCACCGAGACCATCTTCAAGGAGTGCAGACGAACTAACCCTGCTCTTCTGGGCAAGCTTGGTGACCGTCCCTGGAACGACCGAGAGCCCCGCCACATCAAGGCTGTTGAGAACGATGAGCGACCCATTCTGAAGGCTGTCGTCCTCGATTTCTCCAGTGTCAACAACGTCGACGTTACTTCCATTCAGGCTCTGATTGATGTTCGCAACCAACTTGACAAGTTCGCTGCTCCTGAGGTCGTTGACTGGCACTTCGCCAACATCGAGAACCGATGGACCAAGCGTGCTCTAGCTGCTGCTGGCTTCGGTTTCCGCACTCCCCGCACAAACCATGATGGTACCGGACAGTGGAAGGCCATCTTCTCCATTGCCGACCTCGGTGGTGACGACAGTGCTGCTACTGCTGCTGCTCTCGATGAGAAGGCCAAGAGCGCCCCTGTCAAGCAGGACATCGAGGCCGTCGACGATTCTATCAACAGCATTGGCTCCGAGAAGGGTGTCTCAAGAGACCCAACTAGCGCTCGTCTCATTGCCGTGCAGGGCCTCAACCGACCTTTCTTCCATCTTGATTTGCAGGAGGCCGTCGACGCTGCCGTTTCCGCCGCCGAGTTGAAGCAGCACTAAGTTGGCTATTATTACATATTAATCGTTGTCTATATGGGTATCATGGTGTTTCATGGAGTTTTAATTCGTTAAAAGATTTGTCATGATGGAATCAAATCGCCATAGAGGTTGTGAGGCGATGTGTCTATACCCGATTTAGTTTTTGATGTTGATCTAGTTCTAGTGTTTACATATGGGAAGATGCCAATGGTGAAGTTGTCCATGGCTTATGAATGACAATGACTTATCACTTTTACATGCATGCCTTTTGCTCGTGACTGTCGCAAATAATGAAGAACTTGAGAATATACTGAGTACAGCCTGATAACCATCAGATTCATAATATGTACTGGGAGTGATTAAAACCTCTTGATCTGCCCTTAATGCTTGCTGTCAGATCTCGGTTCCAAGCCTTGCCTTTGATGTCATGTGCCAAGCACAAACACAACCATGCACGAGGGTGGTGTGATCATTGCAAGACAAATAAGAAAGCAGTCCAAGGTCAAAGGGTGTTCAACTTCCCCGCTTGAACGAGATACATTACCATACATGGAGCTTTGTAAGACCCGGAAACTGGTCACTTGAGCAATATAATCACTCCTACCTTGTAATCGGTACGTGGCGTGCGTGGAAGCCTCGAACTCTTGACCGACTACTCTAAACGGCAACATCACTTCCAAGGACAGATCACTACGAAGCGAAGCTGCCAAGGTCACGGGAGATTGGAGAAATAAAAGAATCGCTAGAGTGAGCTGGTTATCGTACAAGCAGACTGTCCGTCATGACTTTCTTCGCAATCCGCCTTAATCTCGCTGAGCGGTGACTCCGTAATATCGCGCCGGGTTACATTCCGCCAAAATCGGAACTTTACAGTTATGCGTCATGTTGCAACAGTTACAGTGCTGTTTCGTTGTTGCCATAGGTCCTTGAGTGAATTGCTCACAGTTAGGTAACCCAGGAACATGTGAAGCGCCACAAAAAAGAGCATATTAATGACAAGACTGCGAATGGGAAAGTGAAGGCTCCCTAGCTTACTCTGCCACCATTTAAGTTGATTAGACGGATGCTATGGACTTTCAAAGCCGTGGAAGAAGTTTATAGGGGTGCTCCAGGAGTAACAAGATCCTATCTCCTGCTGGATAGGGACTCTTCGACTGAGCCGGAACGTGGCTAACCATCTGGCAAAAGGCCATTCCCGGAAGATTTCACTGTGGATCATACACTATACAAGCTTTGGTGTTGGGTACTTACCACCCTCTTCATCAGATGAAAACATCCCCGGGGCGAACAGCGATGCAATATTGACTGAACCTCTCGTCATTAGGGATAAGAGAACATCCTGGCCATCGGCAGACCGAGTCCCAGACTCGAAATTCCAGAAAGAACACGTGCTTCCAGAAAGTATCCCGTAACTCAGCGATGAACATGCGCTCCTCCAGATCCCAATTGAACTTCTTCTTGAATGTAAGTTCATGAGAAACAGGTGACGCGTCGCGGATAGATCGAGTCAACCAAGGCAGCAAGGAGCCCATCTTGTTTGGATTTGGAAGAAACTTGATGAGTTGAAAGAAGCCAGTTATCGTCAACATTGGGAGTCTACGCTTTCTTCTATCTCTAGAGAGATAGACGGAAGGTACCGTCCGACTACCTCATAGATATGTGCTTTCCCACTTTCGGGCAGGCAACTGGGAGGACGTTACTTGATGGAGCTGCTAACTCCCTGCTATCTAAGGTTTGGAGAGTGATATTTCTAATTGATAAATCAGACAGCTGATGCTTGCATCGCGCGCCTTACCTCGCTGTCTGAGGAGGTACTTGGATAATTCAGCACCATCACCTGAGAACGCAACAATTTTGAATAGTGACGAGGACGGGGACGCCAGGTATGTATGTTCATAAGCTGCTGTGCATCAAGGTAACAGGAACATTGAAAAACTATACAAGTCTCATGATATTTCTAGTATCCGAACACAAACTCAACACATCGAATGGAAATGGAGCCTTTGTAGAATTGTGCGTGGCATCTTGTCCCCGGATGTCGGATGAAATTGGCCTGTATCGTTCAAGTTACCCCTGTCGCCAGAATGGTTCAAGTTATGGCATGATATCTACGTCTATCGTAACTTATCGTCAGTCCTTAACAAAGCTTCGGAGACTAACTGCTAGTGGTGCATATCCGGCACTAACTCCCACTACTGATCCAGGCTTCATGCGTAGTCAAATTGAAATCGAGATGATTCAATGCGACTCTCAAGACCATAAAACAAATCCATCCCAACTCATATTGACGAGAATGGCAAAGGATTCAAGACCCTGAAAATCTCACCGCATGACATCATGTCCGCCGATCGGAGACAAAGATTTCTATGGCGAAACCTTCTATCAGGAATTCTAGAAACAATATCGTCATGGATCTTGCTAGTACACGTGGAAAATACTTCAGTGCCGAGGCAAGCGGCTCCGCCGTGCTCCACTCTTCACCGGGTCCGTACCCACCGAGAGCGGTCCGAGAATCCATTTTCAACGGTTGAATTTTATTTTGAGATTACAAAGCTGGGGACAAGTTACGTGAATGATCCGAGGACCTGAAACAAACGGTCAGGACGGATAAAGATAACGATGTTTCCGAAGTAGGTATTAATAGCAAGGGGAGATGTTAAGCGACTTGTCGGTGAAGAATCATCATTGCCAACATAGTAGATGTCCAACAGAAGAGAAGCATCAGAAGTTGGAGAAGATGCTAGATTAGTCTCACCGGAAATAAACATCCCAAAATATGCAAAACTTGGATTGCGAAAATGTCCATAATGACGGACTCTTCGCTAACCCCGATATCAAGGCAAAAAGAAGCTTTCACATCCCCACTTCGGTCTCTTTCTTCAGGCTCGTTCCAGAGTCAAACCCACAATCCGTGCTTCGCGTGGTCGGCCAACTCGATGAAGAAGACTGCCCCGGCCGGTCCGATAGCCCTATGTAACCGTCGCCATCGCCAACCGTTTTCTATATAAAGCCCAGCCCAGAATCCCCCCTTCGAATCGAACCATATACCCCATCTTTACACAAAACCCTATCTCTATATTCCTACATAACCTACATAAAATCGCAACAATGGTCTCTTACAAGGTCTTCCGAGGAACCCCCGAGGGAAAGATTGTCTCCGACACCGTCGAGCGTGAGCTCCAGAACCACGAGGTCTTCATTGAGACAACACACTCTGGTGTTTGTGGAACGGATAAGCTCTACCAGCCCAGTGGAATTGTCCTGGGTCATGAGGGTGTTGGAATTATTCGTGAGGTTGGGTCGTCAGTCAAGAACGTCAAGGTTGGTGACAGAGTTGGATTCGGATACACACATCAGATCTGCGGCTCTTGCGACAACTGCTGTACAGGTAAGGACCCAATATACTTTGAATTACCTATGGTACTGACTCTGCAATAGACCTCGACCAGTACTGTCGTGAGCGTCAGATTTATGGTTTCTCTGACACCGACAACGGTTCTTTCTCCTACGGTGCTGTCTGGGACTCTAAGACTGTTGCACCCATTCCTGATGGATACGACTCTGCTGATGCGGCCCCTCTCCTCTGCGCGGGAGCCACTGTCTACACAGTCCTGACCAAGTACGGTCTCCGCTCCCAAGATAGAGTCGGTGTTATGGGCATTGGTGGCCTGGGCCATCTTGCCATCAAGCTCGCTGCTGCCAAGGGAGCTCACGTCGTTGTCTTCTCTTCATCCGAGTCCAAGAGGCAGGAGGCCCTGGACTACGGTGCCTCCGAATTTATTGTCTTCAAGTCTGGAGACGAGGCTCCTAAGAACTTCAAGCCCGTCAAGCACTTGCTTCTCTGCGGTAGCGCAAATGTCGACTACAGCAGGTATGTTCACCGCACCAACACTTGGTTTGTCATAACTAACAAACGCAGCCTCGTTCCTCTTGTTGATACCGACGGTGTAATCTACCCTCTTACTGCCGCTCTGGAGTCCACTCCCGTTCCCCTTACCTCGCTCTCCCTCAAGGGTATTCGCGTTCAGGGCTCTCTGGTCGGCTCTCGCGACAGCCTTCGCAAGCTTCTTGACTTCGCTGCCAGGAAGAACATTAAGCCCACTATTATGACATACCCCCTTAACGAGGAGGGCATTGAGAAGGCTCTGCACGATTTGAAGGAGGGCAAGGTTCGATACAGAGCTGTCCTTGTCAAGGAATAAAATGGTTACGTGTTGAAGAAAAATAGCGATTTTGGAGCTCAGATGTGTTTTTAGAGACAAAAGCGAGGTTGAAGGATATACCAATTTGTAAGATTACGAATTTGACGAAATTTACGTTGGTTGTTGTTGAGCTAAACCGTTTTGATCCATTGGAGTTGTCGTGATTCGGTGCAGATTTCGTAAGGTGGTGACGAAACCAGATACGCGGTGAGGAACTTTTGTAGGCTCGACGCGGTCACTTCTTATCCCACCAAACCAAAACCGTCAAACTGAATATGCATATTTACGTTTATTTTACAAAGGATTCGATTGCTATCTATCAGGAGAGATAGTAATTTGCCATAATCGAGACTGTGTGTAGCGCCACTGATGAAGTGCATTGCTGGTTTTGCCTAGGTTGATGATAGAGCTTGAGTGTTATTGACAGGAGAACAGGAGCTTGTGGGTCATAGTAATGTAATAGCCAACGTCCATCTATCATTGAGAAAACACCCCGAATTTTCTTTGATTTAAATATTGGATATATTGAATATCTATCTGATCTACAATTCAAGCAATCTGCAGTCTATCATTCCCTATTCCTCCCTGTAAGACGGGCGTAAGCTTATCCTGTTGTTAGGTTCACCAGCCAATCAACTCTTTCCCCCGCAGTTGAATCACAGATGAAAACGTAGTCACCCACGTAAGCACCAACTGATTTAGGCAATTTCGTCATTGGATCTTAGCATGAGATAACCAACTTGCCTTATGTGTCGGACCATGATATGAATGTCCCTGGCCCCGTTGTGAAATTGAAGAGACGACTCAGCCACAAGCGCCATGGATGTTAATTCTTCACTAAACGTTCTGCCCGAAACCGATTTTGGCCCTTCGGCCTCGGGAAGATTTGATTTTACTGTCTTGTTTGAGAATGTTATGCTATCGATTGTCCCATCTGTTTTATTCTTTGTTCTTGCCCCACAGAGACTGTTATGGCTGAAAAGGGAGCCGAGAAAGATTGTTGAGAATTCACGTCTTCTCATCAAACTGGTTTGTCTCCTGAGGCCGTAGTCAGGATAACGCTGACGATACATAAGGGGTTGATCACCGTCTATACCGGATTGCAACTTGTGGTGCTGACGTACTGGACCGTGGGGCCTCTGCCTACATCTCAACCACAAATTGCTGCAGCGGCTCTCGTATTTGTGAACGGACTGTTGCTGGCCTTACTGTCTTATGTCGAGCATACACGCTCTGTGAGACCTTCGACAATCATCAACGTCTATCTCTTTTTTACATCTCTTTTCGATTGCGCTATAGCCAGAACGCTATGGCTTCTCGATGGAGCGCATGCAGTTGCGAGGCTGTTCACGGCAGCAACCAGCGCCAAGGCTCTCATTCTTATTTCTGAAGCATGGGAAAAGAGGTCCATATTGAGAGTTCAGTACCGCGATCTATCACCCGAGACGACGAGCGGTATACTGGGCCGCAGTGTCTTTTGGTGGATCAACCCTCTGATGAAATTAGGATTCTCCAATTTTTTGACTGAGCATGACCTGTATGTTGTTTTGACTGTCTACATCCTGACCCAACTAATGCGATAACAGGTATGCCATTGAAAACAGTCTGTTGGGAAAGAGATTGTTCGCGCAGGTGGAGAAGTCATGGCGTGCGGGTGAGTTCACAACACATTCCTGCAGAATATGCCAAGCTGACAGACAGTCTAGCGAATCAAATTAAGAGTAACGCTCTCTTTTGGTCCACCATCTGGTCTTCTAGGACAGTCTTTCTTCTCGGAATGTTATCCCGTATTTGCTTGATGGCCTTTAAATACGCACAGCCTTTTCTGATTCAGAGAACCATTGGCTTTGCGAGTAACTTGGATGAAGACAAAGCCATTGGATGGGGCCTCACGGGGGCCTGGTGTTGTGTCTTCATCGGACTGGCGGTTTGTATCTCGCCCGTGTTTCTTGTGGTATCCAGGCTAACATTCTCAAGATCGCTAACGCATTCTATTGGCATATGACTTATCAGTGAGATCAAAGCTCCGCCGGTTGAGAAGCCGAGGCTAATTATCTAGATTTGTCACAGCAGTCAGGGGTAGCCTGATCAGCCTGATTTATGACAAGACCCTCGATCTCAGCATTACGGCTTTTGACGAATCAAGTAAGAAAATGGGACTCTTAGGCAAGGGGCAAAGCTAACGTATTGCAGTTGCTGTAACACTGATGTCTGCCGACACCGAAAACATCTGCATGAACTTCGCAAGCATACATGAGATGTGGGCCTCACCAATTGAGTGCGGAGTGGCTTTATATCTCCTATACAGACAGCTGGGCATGGCATTTCTGGCACCTATGGTTGTGGCAATAGGTTTGCGTTCCCTGGTGCTAACAAGTTCACTTTTAACATGGGATTAGTCTCGACCACTGGCATCTTGATGATAGCTAAGTATATTGCAAACGCACAGAAGCGGTGGGTTCGCGGTATCCAGACGCGCATTGATGTTACTGCCTCGATGCTGGGCTCAATGAAAGTAAGTGCCCACTTCAAAGACGCTCGGGTTGAGTCACTGATCAAGATTACAGGAGGTGAAAATGCTCGGGCTCACGGATGTTCTCAATAACCTGGTCCAAAGTCTACGTGTCAGAGAATTGGACCTGTCCAAGAAGTTCCGTAAATTGATGTGCTGGCGAGTCCTTTTCCGTAGGTCTACGAATGACTTTAGATACGCCAAACCGCTAACTTCACCGTCTAGAAAATAGCATGGAAGCCATAGCCCCACTCGCTACGTTCGCAACTTATGTCGTGATATCGCAAGAGACAGGCAACCCCTTGAGTACGGCTTCGGCATATACTTCGCTTTCGCTTATCTATCTTTTGTCGAACCCTATGTCCACACTCATACGAACCATTCCTGGAATGAAGGCATCGCTGGCATGCTTTGATCGGATGCAGGGCTTTCTGCTATCTGATAGCTGCAAGGATCACCGCTTACCTCTCAGTGTCCGCGATAGCAGAGCCCAACAAGAAACCCGGAATTTCGGGCCGCGTGCTTTTTCTCAGGACAGAGCCTCGATTGAGCTACTAGATCGCTCCAACGAACCATCAGTGGCAATTGGCCAGTCTCTCATGATCGTCTCAGACGCCAGCTTCGGATGGTCAAAGACTGAAGCACCAGTTCTCAGCAACATATCCTTTCCCATCCGTAAATCCCACTTCACCTTTGTGATTGGGAGTGTAGGATCTGGTAAAAGCACTCTCATGAAGGCCTTGCTGGGAGAGTTACAACCGTATAAGGGATTTGTCTACACTGACGCCCGACGTATCGCATTTGTTGACCAGAAGCCATGGATTCAGAACTTGACGATTCGACAGAACATCCTTGGTATATCCACATATCACAAAGATTGGTATGATAGAGTTGTTCATGCATGTGGACTTGAGCAGGACATTGCTGAGATGCCTGACAAGGACGCCACGAAAGCGGGCAGCGGCGGGGTTTCTCTCAGCGGTGGCCAGAACCAGAGACTTGCACTTGCGAGGGCCATTCACTCAAAGGCGGGAGTGCTTATTCTCGACGATGTCTTTTCGGGACAAGATGCTTCGACAGAGGAGCATATTTACCGGATGCTCTTCTCAGAAACAGGGTTGCTAAAAGAGCTTGGCACGACTGTTGTCTGTGTAACCAACGCCAGTGAGTTTAGCTGCCATGGGTCGGAGTGAAAAGTACTGATATCCCATAGTTCATCGGCTTGCATACGCAGACCACGTTGTTGCTCTAAGCGAACATGGCACAGTCCAGCATCAAGGAACATTTGAGCAACTCAAGAATGACACTGATTACTTCAGTGGTTTGCATCTTCGGCAGAACGGGGCTGCCAAGGAGGACGGCGAGTCCTCGACAGCCAATAAAGGATCAACTTCGGCACCGCAAGGACCAGAAGAAGAGACTGAATCTGCTAACCGAGCACTGGGAGAACTTGCTACCTATGGTTACTATTTCAACACGGTACCCAAGTGGCATGTCCTGTTGCTCGTAACGCTCACAGTCTTATTCGGCGCCGCCCACAAGATGACTGAGCTATTGCTAAGTTTCTGGACTGGTCATTCTGTTATCACTCAACAAAGCGTCAACAACTTCTACCTTGGACTCTACTCGATGCTAGCTGGACTTGCGATAATTGGCATTATGGGTGCGGCTGTGCATTACCTTGTTATCATGGTGCCTTTGAGCAGCGAAGTCCTGCATGCCCGACTACTTCGAACAGTGATGAATGCTCCGTTGTCATTCTTCTCAAGGATGGATGTTGGCGTTACAACAAACCGTTTCAGCCGCGATATGTCTGTCATAGACACAGAGCTTCCGTTTGCATTGATTGACCTGGCCATTGATACCAGCGTCACCATCATGGCTGTTATACTGATGTGTGTGTTCTCTGGATACTTTGTGGCGACGCTGCCCCCTCTGGCTTTCTTCTGCTGGCGTAAGATTCGCTCTTGACACCCTTTTTAACATTCACTGACCGTTCCGCTAGTGCTTCAGAGATTTTGCCTTCGGACTTCTCGCCAGATCCGAATCCTTGAGCTACAAGCAAACTCACCCCTGTTCACACAATTCCTTGATACCCTTCAAGGATTGTCCAGCGTTAGATCCTTCGGCTGGGTCAAGCAGTTCAAGGAACAACACTTTCAGTTCCTCGACGCATCTCAGCGTCCATACTATCTCCTCTTCAGTATTCAGCGCTGGCTAGCTGTTATCCTTGATCTTGCGGTTGCAGCGCTGGCTACAATCTTGATGGTTCTCATCGTCAAGCTTCGAGACAACTTCGAGCCGAAGTTTGTGGCAATGGCCCTCCTCAATGTGACATCCTTTTCGCAATATCTCACACAACTCATCAAGAATTATACGCAATTAGAGACCTCACTGGGTGCTGTTAGCCGTACTAAGGAGTTCTGCTCCACAACTGACAGCGAGAATCTTCCAGGCGAGGTGGTTACTCCACCCGAGAGCTGGCCTTCTCATGGCCACGTGCAGATCGAAAACTTGACGGCTGCATACACCACTTCGGGTGAGCCAGTACTGCACGAAGTCAGTCTAGACATCAGAGCAGGATTCAAGGTCGGCGTCGTTGGCCGGAGTGGCAGTGGCAAAAGCTCCTTGATGGCCTGTCTTCTCCGGATGTTGGAGGTTGACTCGAAGTCTAGCATCAAGTTCGACGGCATCGACATCACTACGCTTCCGCGACAAACTGTACGGGCGTCTGTGGCAGTCGTTCCTCAGCATCCGTTCTTCATGAAGAAGACTACTGTTCGCGACAATCTGGTTCCTCGTGGTGAGCAGCCTGAAGAGAGGATTCTCGCCGTTCTCAAGCGCCTAAGGATGAAAGACGCTGTAGAGAAGCTCGGAGGCTTGGACAGCATTCTTGACGTCGAGCGACTATCACAAGGTCAACGCCAGCTTCTTTGCCTTGCCAGAGCGATACTCGCTAACAAGAAGATTATTTTTCTTGACGAGGCGAGTAGCAACGTCGATGCCAAGTCGGAGCAATTGATCCGACAGGTGGTCCAAGAGGAGTTCGTGGGATGCACGGTTATCGCTATTGCACATCGACTGGGTGCTGTTGTTGACTTTGATCGAGTTGCTGTGATGGGAGGAGGAAGGGTTATCGAGTGGGATAACCCAAGGGAGCTACTGAAGAAGGAGAGCGAGTTCAAGAGGCTATGGGATTTGAGCTCCGGATAAAAGAGCAATGGTATCAACTATAAAGCTATTGGCAAGGCTGAAACACAACTGTCTGTGGTCTCAATAAATCATCTATTTTCAATATAGCGAAATCAATTACCAAACATGAATCTCGGTCCCAGAGCTAAAGTGCCAAGTCACCAGTCTCCGGTTACATCTGCAACAGTAGTGCTCAGTATTCTTCCACTGATTCCCAATGTAAGCAAGAGGGCCTCCAACGATCGTGCACGCAAACATCAATGCAGCCATGGCACTTATGAGTCAGCTTCTATCAACATATCCTGTTTCAGGGTTTGTACTCACTGCGTACCACCACAAATCTTGCGTTCAACTCGGGTCAGAGAGAGTTCTCGACAGGCAGGGCATATGACAGCTCGAGGCCATTGTTTCAGCTTTCTCAGAGGAACGACGTTGGATTGAGAGATAGTGTTGAATGCTGTGATCTCGGTCTGTTGTTGAGACTCAAGTGGGGAGAAGAGTTCGATTTTATTGTGGTCATCTGACGGATCATCCTTGAACAAGGTATGGAATCTTTGTTTCGTGGTAGTTGCCATGCTGATGGATAGTTATCTCAAGACTGATGTTTATAAGTATGATATAGCCCGTTGCGAAAGCCCATGATATATACATTGAACTTCAAAATGGCAAGTCAGTTCTCATCCAATGATGACCCCTGTAATTGCGGATGCCTGGAGTGTCACACTGCCCAGTGCTCGTATTTCGCATTGTGAAAGCGTAGCCAATAAGACGACGCTTGATTTCAAGCCACCGACACCATTTTGGGAGGAGCTGAAACAAAAGACTAACTGACCGGGGAATTATTCCACCGCTTCGGTCTGGAATTTAGTATCGGTGGCTGTGTTTTATCAGTGGGTGTAGAGTGACGAATTGTGAATTCGCAACGTCGCACGACCAGGGCAGATCTCTTACATTGGATGTCAGTCCTTGAACGCATTCAGCTAGAATACCGGATGCCAAGACCCTGCATAGCTTTACAGATAGATGATCGTTTGTTCTAGATGAATTGATAATCGTAGGATGCATGGATCCTACTGCAAACGTTTGTGCTCGGACATAAGGGTTGAAGATCTTGAGCCTCATCTGTCACTTTTCCTCGCCAACCTGACGTTTGACAGCATGAATGAAATATCAACGTTGGCGGTCATGGGTCGATTTGGAATGGATCTACATTTAACGTTGCGGTTAATGCCACGCGGCGAATCCAACACGCTGGCTCGCTTTGCCCAAGCCGTATTTCGACAGCGTCGACGTAAGAAGTCTTGGCTGTCGACAAGATCAACGACCTGATACCCCATTTAGCTATATTATCCGATTCGAGGAGGCTCTGTTCCTGGATCTTCGGTAGATCTTGATCAAGACCGGGAATTAGCCATCGCGTAGGTGGCTTACATTCCAGCTGTCACTGACCGATTCAAGTCCCTTGGAAAGCAAGACGCCAAAAGAGGGAGTGGCTTTCTTGGAGTAGAAAAGTCCTCACTTACAAGTTAAATATTAATGACCTCTCCAGGCATCACGGCAATGTTCTCCGAATGATTAATCACCGGTTCTTTCAGGTCCCTCATCCAGTATGGCTATCACCGAACAAGAAGCTGCCAAGTCGTCTCATACCCATCTTGTCATGGTAATATTGGTGGTCTGTTTTGCCCTTTGCGTATCAATTCTGTTCGTTGCCCTTCGATTTTGGTGTCGCTGTATCATTGGCTTTTCGTATTGGGATGATGCTGCTGCTGTAATGGCCTTGGTAAGTCAACAGATGCTTCCATATGGAGCCATCCTAACATTTGTAATTTCAGTTGTGTATAATAGGAATGGGATCATGTATACTTACACGTAAGTTATTACCAATATTTGGAAAGCTTGAGCTCAAAATTTACAGTTGTACCACTCGGCTTGAACGACCCTACTGGCACGCTGCCAGAGGACAAGACCACGCCATTTTACAAGGTTCGATTACGTCTCTATCTTTCTGAGGTCCAGCTAACAGCACAAGTGCACGTATATCGCCGCCTTCTTCTACAAAGAAGGACTATTCTGGGCAAAAATGACATTTCTTCTCCTCTACTACAAGATCGTAACGCTGTCCTACTGGCGATCTGCATACCTTGGGGCTATAATGGTGGTCGTACTCTGGAATATCTGTCAAATTCTGATATTCTTTCTTCAATGCGCCCCCCTCGAAGCCGTCTGGAATCGTGATCTTAGGATGAAGTGCGTTACGAATCGGCTAGAGCTTGCTTATGTTTGTGCTGGAATCAACATCTTGACCGATCTCGTGGTAGCTATCTTGCCACTACCCGTTATTTGGAAGCTCAACCTCCGTCGATCTCAGAAAATCGCTCTCTCAACTGTCTTTGGACTCGGATGCTTGTAAGTATACCTCGAATAACATATCTCGTTTGCTGACCTTTGGTGAAGTTCAATCGCGCTTGCTATTGTGAGGATAAAATGGGTGGAAACGTGGTCGCTTACTACATGGGATATCGTCAGGCCACAGCTTTGGGCTTTGGCAGAGGTCACTTCAGCACTGGTCTGCGCGTGTATCCCAACATTCAAACCGCTCCTCTCGAAAATTAATGCTATAATTGTTGGTCGAAAGAGGAATGCTACAGAGTTTGTTCTCGAGGGACACAGGAGTGATGTTGAGTTCAATGCGGGAAGCATCAGACATAGTGAGGGCTTCAGTTAGAAGCCTAGGCATGACAGGGTTTATGGAAGCGAGACCTCAGTGGCCGTTGAGCAATATCCATGGCTGTAAGACAGAGCTCTGCGAGGGTCGGAAGCTGAGTTGAGTAAACTAATACGCCAAGGCAACAGCTTTTGGAGTTGGGTATTGAGGGGAGTTTTGAAATGGTTAACATACAGTAATGGTAATAGTAATTAAAATATGTACATTTTAACCTTGAAGCGGTCTTTGGCTCAAAGCCTCGCTGAGCTGCATGAGCCCTGAACAGCCACGGCGCTAACAAGCTGCAAGGCATTTTCAAACCCCCAGCTCAGCCCAACGAGGCATTCAGCGCCTTGAAAACCCCCATACACAAAATCATTTACGTCTTTCACATTCACCCAATCTGATACCTTTCTTTTCCACCATCACATCATGAGTTCTTTATGCAACTATTCCCACCCAGAACTACAAATTACAGATGGCCTCATCCGTCAAGATACGGGGCGGCTTTTCCCCTATAACCCCGAGTTTTATAACAACGCGACAGGCCTATACGGCCCTGGTACCATCTATTGTTGGTACATGCTTCTCGTGTCTGTTCTCGCCAGTTGGGCCTTTTGCCTAGCAGACGAGGATGGACCCAAGAAGCCAGGCCTTTCAAACGATCTCTTGGGAGCTCTGGCATATCCTGTATTTGCCGCGACGGACTTAGTTGTGCAATCGATGCGGATGCTGGGGATGGAAAAACGCGCACTGGCTATCTTTTGCTTACGCAATCCAGAGGTTAATCTTGACCTGTTTGGTCCTTTCAATACCACGCAGCTCGATCTGAATCATATTCCGCCCGATACGGCGATATTGGGCCAGCGTGTCGTCGATATCACCGGGCCGCTTACTATATGCTATTCCGCAACACCATTTCTTCTTATTCTTATCATTGGGTTCATGATTGATACCGACTATGCACGGAATTGGAAGCCAAAGCCATCGGCACGCTGGGTGGTAAATGTAGCTTATGGCTACATCTCACTGATGCTCACAATATTTCACTTCAGTCTCGGTGACATAGGAACCAGCTTCTTCATCGCCCTCTACGAGGCAATGCTACCGGTGATGCTAACCATCATCTACCTCTTCACCGCGTTCATCGGCCTGGCCTTCCTTACTGGCATCATCATGCTGGCATGGTCAATGATTGAGAGGAACTACAAAGACACGGTTGAAGCTCTAAAAGGTCTGGGAGGCTGTATCTTTTTCGGTGGTATGCTGGTTGTGCCCTCAATGTTGATGATTCACCGAGACCGTAGTACTACCATACCGGATTTGGCAATCAGGGTCAGTGAAAGGGACCAGTTGGCGACCTTGATTGGCGGTGCTGTGACGTTGACTTTTACGGTCGTTGATGTTTTTAGAAATTCTTTTCGGGAGAGACATGAGGAAGAGGCACCCGATGAGGAGATGCAAATCCTACCGACTGCCGAAGCTTAACTATTGTAAAGAATGAATATTTTATATTATATAACTAGTTCAAACACCGAAAGCAGCATTTCTGTTGTCGTCTTTATTAGTAAATACGACACTTAGCTTACGAGCCAGGCTTTGGGCTACGGTTTTACACGATTCCATGATTCCGTTGATACTAGAATTGATACTGTAGCATGCTTCTCCAGATCAAACAAGTAGGGCTATTTTGCCTTCCCCGCCACAGGTAACAATGCTATGATTACGTGGTTGGTTTCATCTATAGGAGGGATTACAATCTGGAGGAACGAACTGGTTGGTTACACATTGACTCGAACTTCTCGAGCCTGTCACCGCAGAATTGTATAAATAACCGACCACCCCGCAGAATTTACTCCTGCTTCTCCAAGGTCATCGACTTACGAAGCCGTTCCGCCGATGCAATAACGGAACGCACCAATAACAGAATTTGGGGATCGAAGCTCTTGAATCATGTCCTTTCTGTCAGCCATGCGACATTTGTATACATCGTTCCTGCAGAAACTTTCCAATACCACGCTTAATGGAGACCGTTCCAGGACATTTGCCGCCTTTTGGCTTTTTGGTATGATCTTACCTATCCCTCAAATTCATATGACTGATTATCATCCTTACAGGCCTTATTAATGCCATGCTATACTCTGTAATCCTCTCTGCCGCACTTGATCTCGTTGGGTCCAGGGTTCCAAAAGGGGTGGTATTACTTGTTGATGTCGCTCCAACGTTCCTGATCAAGCTACTTGCGCTGCCACTTAACTTTCATAAAGTACCATATCGTTTCAGAATACCTATGTTTACAACTCTTTCAATTAGCGGGATGACTCTTATTGGTCTTACGGGGACGTCGACTAGTCATCATGCTATCTCAGCTAAAATGCTGGGAATCATTTTGGCAAGTATTAGCAGTGGAGGCGGCGATTTGAGCTTTCTAGCTCTTACCCATTATTATGGTAAATTGAGCATTGCTGCCTGGTGGCCTCTGGGGTCTACGTTGCCGCCACGACTTGGCTGAAGTTTACAGTCAGGGATACTTTGCTTTTGTTCTCATTATTACCGCTCATTACAATTCTTAACTTCTTCTTCGTTCTACCAAATGGGCCTCTCTTATCGACAATCGATAATGCAAACCACGAAGCCATTTCCCCGGCCTCGGGGCCAATTACCATTACAGTCGGGAGCGAGGAAACTCAACCCCTTCTTCTTAACACCGAACCTGCTAGTTCACAGGGGAGCGCTCGGCACAGGAGATTCGGAACGGTCGCTACAGGAACAGCGGAAGATGAAAGCTTCTGGACAATCGCTATACGCAACGTCAAGAGCTGCAGGGTTATTTTCTATCGATTGTAGGTGGAATATCTTCTCTCTTTATAAAAAGTCTAAACTTTGCATAGCATGCTACCGTTACTACTAGTTTACATCGCCGAATATACTAGTAGGTCATTATCACATTGTTTCTATGTCGGACCTAACAATGATCCAGTAAATCAAGGTATAACACCTTCGTTGCTATATCCGCTAGGTAGAACGCCATTCGCAAGTTACAGAGACTTTTACCGTGAGAGAGTTCCAGTACTTATACTATCATATGATTTGTACGCGACTAGAAATAAAAGAATATGTGCTAACTGGCAGATAGCTACTTATATGGCGATATATCAGCTGGGAGTTTTCGTCGCCCGTTCTTCCATGATGATTTTCAAATTATATCACTTGTACTTCTTCTCGCTTTTTCAGTTCATTAACTTATTCCTGTTTCTTGCTCAATCTATGTTCACGATTTTCCCTAATATCTATTTCATCTTCGTTCTTGTTTTTTGGGAGGGAATTTTAGGTGGGCTGGCATACGTGAATACGTTTGCTAAATTGGCCGATAGGATTTCGACGGAGGAGCGTGAGTTCTTTATAGGCGCAATTAGTGCCAGTGATTCGGCTGGAGTCTTTGGTGCGAGTTTCTTTGCTATGGTGACTGAGACTTATCTATGCCGATATCAAGTAGCTCATGGGGTCGACCTGTGCTTTAGGGTATGAAGAGGGCTGGACGCAAATATTGATATTCTCTGGTAACAGAGTATCTCGGCTATCTTCAAAATTCTTTTTTTCAAGTGCTACTCACAAGAGTGTATTTGTTGCCAGAATGAACAAGCGTTTTCTTGACAATAAAATAACATTAAGCTAGGAATAATAAGATGCCCAGTGTAGTTGAGAAGATAAGAATAATCATAGACTGAATCATTATACCCCTTTTCAAATAGGCATTTTGGTCAACTTTTGATGTATTACATTCGTTTAGAAACGGTAATGGTGTGCCAGTTGGTGGAGCTTCCTTCTCAAGGAATTCACAGAGTGGACTCCAACCCATCCCAGGATGCCATGTCAACAAGGACCTGTTGCGTTTTCTTGCCTGTATCTTTACCCAAGCCACGTATTTGTCGTAGAAGCCGGCCGTCATCCAGCTGCTACCCTTGGGTTCAAAAAATACTGGACTGTTTGTTCGAGAGTAGCCCTTTGCGCCGCCATACATCCTTCTGTAATCGATATCTAGTCCACCAGAATCGATATTCTGGAAGAGGCCAACACATACTGAAGACCCAAGGCGAAGTAAAGAAACTGATCGTATTCTTACAGCTTCGTGCCCATGAGATCCCTTCCGTTTCTCCGGGGATTGAGGGTGGTCGAATATTGAGAATGAGTTTCGCATCAGGATATAAATCCATGAGGTCTTCCGCAAGTGCATTCAGAGACTCAGCACAAGCGGCATATCCTTCAGTTGCTCTGCAAATCCTGGAGTGTCTGCTGATGATATCATCATCGTCTTGATAGCGGAGCGCTACCAGAATGTCTTCGCATCTAGCCGGGTGCTTTGCTGTTTCGGATGCGTGGAGAACAGACTTGATACCAAGGCTATCGGCCTGCAATGCGGCAGCAATGGAGGTAGTCCCACATCGGGGAAGACCCAAGACAAGCACTACAGTCTTCACTTCCGTATCCTGCATTGTTTTGAAGACAGCAGCTATCGGTAACCAGAGAGGCTTCGAAAGTTTTCGTCTTGCGCTTCTTATGTGACACTCATAGCTTCACAGGAAAAATTCATTTCGGCTGCTTGTGAAGCAAAACAAATAACAGACCTACATCTTACCAAACACATAGGTGCCTGGCTACTATGCTTTCTCCAAGAGCTCTTACGTTTCAGAAGTTAGATTAGGTGTACCTACTCAAGTGACCCCACCCAAGTATTGCACTGAACTTTCAGTGGAGAGAGCAAAGCTCCACAGCCTCTGTGGTTGTTGGCTTTCTTAGCCCCTGATCGATGATCAATGATATCCACGGCGTGTACCCCCTTTATGATTGGTGTAACGCAGCAACTCACCGGTTTCCACGTCAGCTTATTGAGATTTCTCAATCGCTGACCTTACACCATATGCACCTCAAACTGTGCTCAGGAAATCGCGACATTTGGGACCAAGCTCTAAGTTCGGCGTGGTGGATATAAGCTCTCAGCCACAGGTCACAACTGTATGAACATGATAACCATGAGCGGGCGGGCTTAGGAATCGGACCCCAGGGAGTTATTTATTTATGTAATCGTGGCCAATCATACAGGAAATCGCATTTTGCTTCTTGGCAAGTCGACCTATAGCTGTTAATGCGCGGTAGTATGTTCGATTTTCCTCTGCTGAATCACTTTACTATAGATGTAGGAACTGATGACAGTAAACTTCCAGTACATGATTTTCCCACGAGATCTCTGAATAGCTATAGCCGGGTGAACCCTCCGTATCGTGCGTGTATCGTAAAGTTCACTGGGGTGATGTGATGCTGGAAATAACTCTGAAAAGATTAATAGAACAAACCTTAGCAAACGACCCGCTTTTCAGATCATTTTATTATTTATATTCCAACCCTCCCGCGGATCTCAAATAACTCCTCCATGATTCTGCAATCTCTCTCAGCCGTAAATTAATTGCCAATTGTAAACAACACGCTTTCACCTACCAACTGTGGTCATAATGGCGCCACCATGCGAAAAGATGGTGCTGTTTGACCTTGACAATACTCTATTCGACCATTATCACTCTTTGCGTCGTGCAATTTCTGCAGTTCAAGAGAAATATTCTGGGCTCGCAGCAACACCTGTGTCGGTGCTTATCAACCACTATAACCAATGTCTTCAGCAAGCTTATGATGGGTACTTGGAGAAAGTCATCACATACGATGAAACAGAGTCTGAGAAAGTCAAACTATTCTTCCAAGCCGTCCATCTACCAGAACCGACTGCCAAAGACATCAAAGAATTCCGAGATACCTATAAGCCAGTTTACAGGGAAAATCGACGAGCAACGCCCGGAAGCATTGAAACCTTGGCTAGACTACGAGAACATGGCTATCGCCTTGCTATCATCACCAACGGTCAGACCAAAGACCAGACAGATAAGGCTAAAGCTATCGGTGTATACCACCTGCTTGACCATATTATTACATCCGAGGAGACTGGGTATCCTAAGCCCGATGTTCGTATCTTTCAGTATGCCATGGGCAAGTTATCTTTTGGTTCTGCCTATATGGTTGGCGACTCAATCGAATCAGACATTCGTGGTGCGTTGGAGACACAACTGACCGCTGTTCTGTACTCGCCTTTATCCCGTGATACCGTCCAACATCTGTTTGGACAGGACGTTCCCATCATTAATCACATGAGTCACCTCCTCAGCCATTTGGGTATCTCTACTCCCAGTTTCGACCCGCAATTCACAACCACAGGCAGCGACCTGGTGGTCCACGGTTTTGGCATCGATATTGTTACCGAGCCACGGCACTGTCTCAATGCTTCTCAAGATGTTGTGTTGCAATTGACCAAAAATATGGGTTTAGCTCTTGTGGCTCTTTCGACAAAGCGATATATAACCGCCATATCACTTCTTGGACAAATGGTTAAGGCCATTGCGAAGGTTTCTGCCCCGATTCGTGTCGAATGTCTCCTTATCTCATTCCCTGCACATGAAGATAAAGCCCCGGCGCTTTCTGGACCTGAACCGCGTATCGTGAGGAGAGAGCACAGCATCTGTGTGGAATATGAGAATTTGGTACTCGAAGGTACCGCAGAAGCTCAGGTGATGATTCGGGAAGTGACACTTCTTCTGCAGAGTCACTGCAACCATCTGATGAAAGACTACTCTCGGGCAGCAATGCGACAGCTTCGTACGGCCATGTTGGACATCGCAAAGAAGGCAGGAATTGAAGACAATGTTGTCATTACAGGAGAAGAAATTGACAAATAGTGAGAAGTTTTATGCCAAGGGAAGCTTGCATTCTGACTTTTGATATCTATGGTAGTGGTTGAAACTATTTGTAGCACTTCCGTCATATAACTTACGTGACTTAATGTTATGGTTGAGCACGCTTTATGCAGCTCACAGAATATACGCATATACTGGCTCGTAGCGTCAGCAATGGTCTTGGTGTAGTAATAGACAGTTCGAACGTCTACTTAGTTACAAAGCAAGGGCCCTCCTCAAGCCATCCACTGGTCATTGGTAACACAATATGCAAGGTGAGCTGTCATTCCGCTGAAAGAGAAGCCACGGTAGTGGTATTAGCTCAATTCTGTCGTGAGTGAGACCGCCTGTAATACCGGCAGTTCGATGTAACAAGTTTCCCGATCTCAAATTCCCTTTGGAAGACTTCAGTTGGGTCATGAGCTTTCTCAAAGTCATCGATTTGCCAATATCAGAGTACCAAGTCCAGTTTGATGAGCTAGGTAGCTTTGATGACTACGTATCCTAATAAGTGCAGCTTACATCTGATAGAGAGCCTTCATGTTTCAGAGCCCGGAACTTTTCTACATATCATCCCATGTCTATAAGAGAGTTTTTTCCTTCTCTCAATTCTGGAACTTCGCCCAACTTCATTATTACCACCATCTCCTTCACAACCCACTAGCCATCGCCGCCCTCATTACTTCACCCCTGACATCGTTTTCGCTCCATACTCGTCTTAGTTGTTCATTTTTCACTTCATCACCATGTCTTCGGCCTCAGCTCTTGGATATTTCCTGTCACTAAAGCGTTGCGAGCTCTCAGAAGTTAACAATGAGCTGGACCGTCGCTTTCTAAGCCAAGTTCAGATATCCGAGTTTAAGAAAGACGGCGTTCTTGTTGTTGACGATGTTTTCAACCCTCTTGAGATCTCTAATGCTCTTTTGGCTTTCCATTGCATAGAATCGCTCATGAAGAATGAGACAGTGTCCCACGCCGATATCAACTTGGAGGCACTTGGAGGAGGGTAGAAAGGTCAAAAGGAGGCAATTAATTCACACCCTAGTAAAATTCGGAAGATCATGAACCTTATTGATCACGGTGACGGTTTCAAAGCTCTCGCGATTCATCCTTCCTTACTTGTACTGATAACGGGACTTCTCGGACCCAAGTTCCGCCTTCATTCGAAGGGTTTCCTGACGAACAAACCCCCGGAAGTCTCCAGTATCAAGCCCTGGCACCAGGACAGTGCTTATTTCTCGGCAGGAAATACCGTCATCACGGTTTAGATACCTCTACAAGATGCCAACGAACGGAATGCATGCCTACAAGTAATTCCAGGATCTCATACTCAGGGACAAATATGTCATTCGTCACTTGAGCCTCAATTAAATCTTTCGAAACACGACTTAAGCCAAGCTCGTCATTACCCTGTACGCCAAGGAGGCACCTGCATCTTAGATCAATATATTGCACACTACTCAGGGCATAACGAATCGCCAACTGCAAGGCAAGCTCTAATATTTCGCTATGAGAAGCTCGACTCGTATGAGGGAAGCGAGATAACTAGTTTAGATAACTCTACTGCCTCTCTTTCATCTTTACCTCAAACGGAGCCCGGAGATCGGTTGGTGCTTCCGAACACTCGCAACGGGTATGAAGAAGTCAGTTTGAGGTCCTACGGCAATGCTGGAAAGGGATCACAAATCATGAGTCAACAAGTCCAAAATGGGGCATCACTGTTGCGTATACTCCCTGTTTCAGACATGCTCACCCGTGGCGAGAAAGAGAGTATTATTGAGAAAACCCATCTTAACAGTGCTCGGGTATTTCGCCAAAAGGCATCCAAACATGGAATAAACTTCCTTGACATGGGAACCGATTACCATTACCCATTCTATGACGCTTACCCCCCAACGAAGGCTGCTCTGCTAGCACTCAAAAAGAACGACATTACGGTGCTCCATTGCCCTTCATCTTTCGGACTACAAAGCCTTCGCCAAGCTTTCCAAACATTCATGTATTCGAGGTTTTCAGTCACTCTGGACTGTATGGATGAGATCATGATCAACACGGGAGCGTCGCAAGCCTTTGACGCTCTCTCTCGCGCTTTCAAAGGAAGATATGTCATCCTGCCCCAGCTTGCCTTGCCTCCCGTCGGGGTTATTGCATGTGGCAATGGTACTGAGCTCTTGAGGATCGAACCTGATGCTAATGGAGGAAGTATTGACCTTTCTGTTGCTCAAAATAAGGTTGATGAGATATTGCCTAGCGGTATTCGATTCCTGTACCTGAATTCTCCCGTTAACCCTACCGGCTCCATTGCGACTAGGGACCAACTTTGCATGCTTGTCGATTTCGCGAAGAAAAACAACATCGTCGTTGTCCATGATATGGACTCGTGGTATACAAAGCATCAAGGTGGGAATAGGCTCTACAACATCCTCGAAATTCCAGGAGCAATGGACTGCTGCGTGACAGTACTGTCTGTCAGTAAGGAATTTGGCCTTCCAGGATTGCGTGTTGGGTTTATTGCAGGCAACAGTCGCGTGATTAACACTGCGCGTGCTCATAATTTTACTTTTTTTGTTATGATTCCAGAGGTTTGTCAGCTTGCAGCTCAAGCAGCCCTAGAGAGCTTTTGCAAAGGTGGCAAAGCGAGAAACGAAATCGACAATCACATTGCAGAGGTTCTCAAAGCAACCATAAAAGGATGGACTAGCTTAGGGCGGCCCCAAAGCAAGATATATCCGCCATCTGCGGGCTTCAAGTATTTGGTCTCCGTGCCGCCAAATATTAAAGGGCAGGGGGCCTTTTCCAGCATTGAGCTCTTTGACTTCTTCGTTACCAGCCGCGCCAGCGTCAAGCTGTCGACCTCTCGATCCTTTGATCCTGGTAATAGTGGATTTGTGAGGATTGTCTTAATGCAGAATCCGAAAGAAGTTTTCGAAGTTTTCAGACGCCTTGCATCAATAGGTGTCAGTTATACTATGGTATTGCCTGACGGACTTGAGCACGAGTATGAGTCATTTCTAGAGGAGAATGTCAATGATGATTTCTGATACTGTACGGGAAGTGTGTGCGAGGTAGAAACTGAAGAGAATGACTCATTGTCTGGAGCATCGTGCTTCAGGTATTGCAACTCGAAGTTATTGAATCTCTCCATGGGCCTACCACATCTAATTGGGTCAGAGACCAACAGATTTGCTTGAAATAAATGCTAAATGGGTCGGATCTTACAGAATTGTGAACAGAAATTGAGAGTAACATTTCAGATATGGGCAGCAAATATCCTAGCTTCTGATTAAAAATGTGGCCTGTATTGCCGTTAGCAATATTCATGCCTAGCGAAGATGCTACGATCCCATTGCCAATGGTAGCCTTATATAGCTCCATCATTCGACTGTGCTTTAGATCTTCTACCACATCGCTCATGAACCACATAACTAGTTTTCTGATAAGCCAACTGTCTTAACAGTGAACAATGCTTTTGATCCAAATATGCCATGGTTCCTTGCTAAAATTTCCTCTCGTTTTGCTTGCCCAATATCATGTTCATCATTTCCCGACCCGAGGGAAAGCACAGAAGGACACGAGTCATGGAAACGGCTGACTTTGGACACCATTCCCGCCACGTTTAATCCCCCATAACAGCATCACATTGCAGCGAAGAGGCCTCTCGTCATTAGACTGAGCCATGTCCTTGGGGCGCTTAGCGACCGAGTCGAATTCGTTGTCAGCCGCTCGCTTCCTTGCTATTGGAGATTTGTCATTTGCATCGTCTGACTCATTCATGATTACTGCAGTTGGACGTCTTTTCCGTTCAGGCGTCTCGCCAGGTGTACCACCAACTGCAGGCGAGGATAGTATGACAGGGTCATAGCGTAGTTCTTGCTTGATGCTTGGAAGAATGGTGTCGGGATGAGGCAAGATATCCCCAAGGAACGTTTCATGTTGATTTGATCCTTGAGCTGTATCTGCTGTTTCCTCTTCAACGAGAGTAACAAGGATATAACGGCGGATCTCTGTCTGAATCCTGCGTAGTTGACGAGCTAGCTGACACTCCGGTTCGATAATGAGAAGGGTTCGTCTGATAGAGGCGTTGAGCGATAACAACGCTCCACCTTCACGAGCTTGCCGTTCGGCAGGTAAAAGCTGTGCCATAGCGGCCTGGATCGTAGACATTGTCGATGGCCTGTACAGGGCGCTCATAGGGCCTGGTTTGTGTTTCTGACGGTAGAGAGACTTGAAGTTGATTGATATTTGTTACATGTGTTGTATCTCTCTGCTTGGTGCGGTCAAGATATTGAACCATGAGGGCGGATGTCAAGGCTGAACACTGGGCGCCACGAACTTTTCTGTATCGGGCCTGGAGATTAATTTCTCATGGATGCGTTATGCCTGTAGCACAAACAGATTTAAGGTGCTTAGCCGGGCAGACACGGGTTAGAGTTACACAAGGTCTCAAGTGGAGGCGTTGATTGGGCACAGCCAAACCTGAAGACAGACGCCGCCGTTCGTGTGGCAAAGCCAGTGGTTTATGATGCATTCACTTATGCTGAAGGTTCTGTGGCATCCCTAATTGTTGGATGTACGCGGGAGCAATCAATATCCCGGCCATTAAGGAGGTAGCGTATAATCGGCTTAGCTATTGATTGGTCAGTTTTCTGTAATAGTACAGAATGTTTAAAGGGAAATGAGATGACAGGATGAAGAAATATGTTATAAGTAATCCTCAACTTGAGAGTTACGGTATTGCCTGAGATCGAAGTCAACATTCCTGTACGACTCCAAAGCGGAAGATTCCCCACTTTGAGATAGTATCTAGTTGGAGTTGTTCTTATAGTGATGCAAGTGTCATCCACTGGTAATATATAACAAAACTGGCAGGAAACATTCAGCCTATATTCAAGTGAATGGTTGATTATAATGTAAAAATAGCAACCGATCTAATCCCTCAGTGTTTGAAGCAAATATTCAAATGCTGGTTCGATGTGGGCCAGGATATGCAGTTTGCCGCGGACGGACGCAGCTTTCGGGATGCTTCAAACAACAACAACAACAGAGATGATTGGGTCTCATAAGCAGGTTCCCAAGTTAATCTTATGAGAACTGCTACAGCACCTATTCGACGCGTTGACAGTCGTGCCTGAAGCCATGGCTTCTCCTTCGACTTTGCCACCACATATTCCTCTCTCAACCGAGAAGAGACAACTCCCTTTTGGCTTTGGAATTCTACTAAATACCCAGTTTCTAACCTACAAGAGAGAATAACACAAAAACGCAAAGATCATGGGCAAGTGTCTCTCTCGCCCGGAGCGGCACAATAATCTGCCCAAGCGTCTTTACCCTGCCAATACCCCTGATAATGAGCAACCAAGCGTGTACAGCCACCCAAACGCCATGCTCAAGCCAAACAACGCAGCACGAAACACTAGTAAGTCACCAATCTGAAGTGTCAGATTTCAAACACTAACCAACCTTGCCCCTGCACAGCTCCCCACGCTAAGGCAACTACCTCAACAAAACAGTCCCCCTGCAAGAGACACCCACACCATGGCAACCGGGAGACCAGATAGATGAAGAGGAATCTCAAGGATGTTCGGGAGCGTCTTCGCCATGCTCGTGCTCGGTACGAAGCAGCCAAGGATGAAGTCGCGTCTTGTGAAAAGGAGATTTCCAACTTTCCCAAAAGAATGAATAGCCGACGCAGTCTAGCAGGGGTTCAAGGGCAGAAGGAATCCCAGACTGGAATACATGAGGGTGTCTAAAGCAGGACAACAGAGATGGCATAGGATTAGCATTATTGTTGGTCTAAGTGTATAGACTCTGCTCTGTTTTATCCATAGCCCAGCTAGCTACCATCTCTCTACTGCCATAATCTGTTGAACTTTCTTCTCATCATCGCCTGATATTTTCTGGGTCCTCACATAGTGGTGCCTTGATTTCAAGTGGCATTTCGTCTCTTGGCTTAGATGTCGAAACAATCTCTCGAATTGATGCGCTGTCACATTGGCTTTGCGCCTCATCGTCAAAGCCTGCCCATGCATCAACAAACATTTGGCATTCCACCTTTAGCATTATCCTCACCGTAAATGCTGCATTGAATGAGCAACAAAGGGAGCCTATTCATATTGCTTAGCATGCAGATTAAATGGTTGCACGAGCAGCTCGGACCATATGCAGCAGTCTGTTGCATGTACATGTTGCCAAGATTAAAGAATGATGAACTCACGAGGAGCATGTTCCTTTGACTTATAAGACTTGACAAGTTCCCTTTTCTTGAACTAAACTCTTCAACTGCTTTCTTCTGCTCCGCAGGCTACGCTGGCTCGCAACTCTAGTCTATTGGAGTTATTGCCTCGCTAACCTTTCCTAACCCCAATCTCGATACGCATCATCGCTGGCACGATGTCATCCGAGACTATCAGAGCGACTCTTGCGCAATGGAATTTCTCTATAGCTTCACAAGGTAAGTCGGTTGTTCAATGTCTAGTGCCTTAACAATATTAACCAGGATATCAGGTCTTCGCCGTCGCGAATCAGTTGTGTCTCCTCTAGATCAACACCTTCCCAGGGTCTCAAGCAAACCATCTCTTCGAAGGGAGTCTTCATCTCAACCGATGATGGGGACTGATGATCCAGCAGACGATTACTTCCCGCGCTTCAACTTTTCCATAGGGAACTCATTTTTGAGACCTGGTACACATTGGCCGTCTCCTATGTCTACAAATAAAGATGAAGAGACTCTCAACGTCACCCGTAAAACAATTCCAGGTCATAATATTCTTCCTTTTCCGGACACTCAGGCTTCATCTGATCTAGAAATTCTCAACTTCTACGTTGAAGAACCGGACACAGTCTACCTCGAAGTCAGATTTCCCAACATGCAACCCATCATACTGAGAGAGGAGAACGTACAGAAGATCAACGAGCCAGCAGTCATCGATTTCTGGCGGCTCTCTGGAAGTCGAGAGTATGCTACTGGTATAGGAAAGCGTCACGTATTTTGTGTTCTAGGCTATCGCGCTTTCTACCTTCCGAACGGTGGCGAACAAGAGGAATACTGGATTCATTGGACTGGATACAGCGCTTCTGAAGCCTCGTGGGTTGAAGCTGACTTCGTCCGACGTGCTGCGCCTGAGATGGTCCGGACGTTCAACTCTGAGCGCCGGCTTTCTTGCTATAGAGGTTTTACTGAAGAGATGTTCACCACCAAGACTGCACCGCGCTGTTCTGAGATGGCCAAGGGGGTGAGTTGTAATGGTTGTATACGCTGTGGAGGCGGATGCAAACGTGACCATGTTTAACGAGTGGGTATCTATGTGTGGCATCATGTGGATGGTGCTAGATCGAATTAATGTGCTATTATCCTTGAATAATAACCTAGAAGTCTACCATAATCGCCCTAAAATCTCTTTCTTCTCAGTCGACTTGGTAGTCTCCCACAGCCCACCTCCAACAACACTAGTAATAGTGGTATCCTTCTCCCTATGCTCTTCACATACAGTCGGTGTGCTTTCGCCTTGACTCTCATGATAAAACCTTGAGACTTGAAAATTATGTTTCGATCCTCCACATGCCACCTTTGCCTCACTAAGCTTCAGTTGCGGGAAACACCCATCGCACCAGTTATGCTCAGGATACTCAGACGATTTGTTAGCTGTTGCAAGTCGGATAATCTTGCGACATAGTTTGTTGGAGCAGCAAACGGTCGGGTCCATGGCTGGCCATTTTGATCTGAATGTGAACTTGCCAGACATAAGCATTTCCTTGTTTGTCAGAAGCCCCAGCTGACGACATGTCTTTTTGCATTCGTGCAAGGCGAAGAAGAACTTGAACCCTTCTTCACCAAGGTTCGTTTCGCCGAGTTTGAAGCGTTCAGGATCCTTGGTCTGGATTGCAGGATCAGTGAAGGAGTTTCCTACACCTTGAAGATCCGTGACGAGGAAATGGCCCCAGGAGCGCTCAAAGGTGAAATGTGAGAAGGCTTGCGCAATCTCGTTGAATGGATTACTGTCGTCTTCCAGAACATAAGCCCCGTTGCTGTTGTACTTGATGTACTCGCCATCAATGAACGGCTCCAGCGATAAATTGTCGTCTGATTTAGATCCGCGAGACATGTCCTGAAGACAAAGCGTAGTGATAAAATCGATAGGCTTCGAAGACTTGACAAGCCCGTTGAACTCTAGCGCAAATGCTTTGCAGAGTGCTTGCATTCGCATATCCTCAATTAGATTGGCTAGTCTGTGTTCAGGGTGTTTGAATGATTTGAGAACGAATTTACTTGTGGTTGCAGCTGGGCGAGCATACGCTGCGACGCGCAGGGATCCTTCAGCAAAAGGCTTGGAACGTGCGTTGATATCGAGCTTGATAAGTCCAAGCTTGATGTTCTCGTCGTTGTCCAACATTGCATCCAGAGTATCAGCTCCATGGACACTCAAGTCTAAACAGAAGCCCTCCGTGGCTAGCTTCTTGTCTAGCCAGCCAGGAGTATTCCAGCGCGGTGGTGATGTCTCAAGAGCAACGCCTTTGCTGGTCAAACTTCTCGCAACGCTGCCATCTTCCAAGATAGCGGTCAACTCTGGGCGCCCAAACATGTGCGAGCCACCGCGGCTCCCGCCCCTCATTGCCAGAGTCAAGCGGTTTGCTGTACGCGATACTGAAGACGTGACCGTGCTGACAACTAAATGCTTGATGGCTGTGTATCCAGTTCCGAGCTGTAGTTCTTCGAAAAGAGGCCCAGTGCTCGTGGCTGTTCTCTTGGCCCGTGACTTGGCCAAGATGAGCGAGTCCTCAATCGCCATGTTGTACGAATTCTTTTCATGGAGCTTTACGTCGGCCCCCGAGAAACCACAGCCGTAGGACTTACCAAATTCAAGGGCCATCCGGTCGGTAGATGAGTTGATTCGGAGAAGAGCATAGTTGACCTTGAGTTTGACAAGTCGACTGAGAAGATTTGCATGTGTGAGACCATGGGGTTCACTGGCTGTTCTGTAGTAGTCATCATCACTCTCCTCGTAGTCATGTAGAGCATGTCCATGAGGAGGGGCATCGGCGATGTGGATCAGACATCTGGTCTGCTGCATCCATGAGGCATTGATAGCCTTCTGTATACCACCCAGAACATCCTCGGGGATGTCTCCACCACCAGATGCCTGAAGGCTGGCCAAGAAGTTGTACACCTCCGTGACAGATGTAGTGAAGTCGAGGAATTCTATGTTGGGCTCATCGCCATGGTCTTTGTATCCAACCACCGCGACACGCACATTTGACTCGTTTAAGAAAACCTCTTTGATCTCTTTGACGATGGATCGGATTTGATTCTTTGCTGTCTCGATGTAGCTATTCATAGAGTATGTTGTGTCAAGCAGGAAGAGGATATCAGTGGAACAGGAGCTTTTGAACAAGTCAGATTTGGAGTAAGCTGGAGCTGCAGCGTTGGCACGCGCAACTTCTGACTTGAGTGCTGATAGCCGACTCTTGCTGTAAGTAGCCGAGATAGTCGAGCTATCTTTGACTCTGCTTACTGACGATGGGCTTGGAACATTGTTATGGGTTCGATAGGAAGGTGGTACGCTTGGCCCAGAACCTGAAGCATCACTAACCAAAGAGGCGCGGAGCAATTCATCTGCTGCAGAGGAGCCTCTGGCTTTGGATATGCTTGAGCGAGTGACGCTTGCTGAGGACCGGGGCGTCTTGGCCTTCAACGTTGATGCTTCTTGGGCAGCAATTTCAGGCTTGCGTGTAAGAGATTGACGAAGAAGATCATCTGCAAGTCTGGCAATACTGTCTTTGGAGCTTCTAGTGTTGGACTTGACGGATCGCTTGACCGAGGCAGATGGATCGCGTGAAGGGTCCATGGTGATTCAGACTGCTGTAGCATTCACCGAGCGGATGGCAAAGTATGGGTGAATGGTCTAACGGAGTAACAAAACTTGAGTGAGTCGCCATCGGTTTATCATCATATATGAGACGAGATGGCCACCCGGCCGAGGCCTGGACACAGCTGTACATCCAGAGTTGGGGGCACCAATGAACCTGAAAAAAGAGATGACTGCCTATATTTTCAAGCCATCTGCAAGCCCCCATGCATCCAGACATGGGGGCCAAAGCGACCGTGGAGGCCGGAGCCTTATTTCATGAAAGCAGTCGTTCAGAACGACATTTTCAATCTAGCAGATTAGCCGATTGCTCCACAAAACCAGCCACAGGTAACAATGGAATTGGAAGAATATGTTAAGCATACTCGAGTATTTAGCATTTGAATCATTCCCTGAAGGACGAGGTTTGTATGAACAATTACAAAGGAAGAACAATTGCCCACGAGAGCCTTATTTTCACTGATGCTCTATGACTGACTGACACGTAGCCTACACAATGCTGCAGCTAAGGCGACTTATCACCTGGTGGCTGCAAAGCCCAGCGGATAAGTCGAAAATCAGACGGGCTGTCTGCGTGCGGCTGAAGAGGGGTTCGGTACTTACACAATGCCTATTTTTGAAGCACCCCGGCGCCTCACTTTCAGGGCGATTGGCTCGTTTCGCGAGCTGAAAGACTCGTACCCGGACTGGGACTC